CCCCCCCCCTTCTCCAATCTACTCAACTCAACTCCGAACCGAGTTGTGGTTGATTCTTATTGCCACTTCGGGCCCTAGTATACACCCTTCCGTGCGCTTGGCCTTCTATTTCCTCCGACGCATCTCGGTCTTGATGCCACGGCACGTGTGACTGGCACGTATGCACTTCGGCCATAGAGTGAGCTTTGTTGCAGACTCCAGTAGGTCCAACCACACGTTTCCTTCCTTGAGCTTTGACATCACTTGGACTTGCTGTTATTATACCATTGCATCCCGCCTTGTATTTTGCCATCCTCCTGTTATTCCCCTCTGGTTGCTCGATCGCCTTTCTTGCTGTTTTCTTATTCCTTTATTCTCTTTTTTTCTTTTTTCGAAGTGGTCATTGCGTTCTGTTCTCTCTCGCCAACTATAATTTCTTTATTCAATCCCGCCGACGGGCCCGGGCACCTTGCAGAGCGAGCACTTGCACAAATCCACTATGGAGTAACATTGGTTACCTCCAGTGCAGCTCAGACGTGAGGCATGTGAGTGCTGGCATGTCAACCATGTGGAAATCTTTTCCACCACCGCCCATCTGGCGTTCGTCTTGTAACGGAATGTTGATCAACTGAGGAAGCTGTGGCCTGGCACTGTGCCGAATAAGGCCGTATGCTCCCATTGCTACGATGTGCATGATTGCGTACTCGCCGTCTGCCTGCTCGGCCGTCTCTAACTCTACTTTCCCCATCTGCTGTTCGCCCCTCCCTCCTCTTCTTGGCCGTCCATGTCTCTCCTTGTACCTCGGACTTGGAGGTCATCTGTGCTGCTTTCACAATATCAGTCCCGTATTCCACGGTGGTGCTTTAGCGGCTCGCCACCGACTTTGATCGCCCCTGCCACCACCTCCCCAAAAACCCGGTGGATCACTTGCTTCTTTGTTCGCGATTGGTCGATTCTGTCTCTGCGCGGGCATCTTCATGGCTGCAGCTTGATAAGATATGCTAAGCACCTCCCACAGTAGGTCGGTTACATCAGTGAAAAAGCACCAGCCGGCTGGTCACTGCGGTGTCAGGCAAGGACATTGCTCCAAGCGATGCTTGTTTGTCTTGTGTGTATCACGCGCTTTGGCCATGTTCCCTGCTAAGTGAATGAAGGGACTTGACGTTGACCTCCCGTTTCCCTGCTAAGGAAAAGGTATCCGGCTACCTCTGAGTACTTAAACTACCGCGCTTGAAGCCTTATTCCGTCCGCCTTTCTATGCGATGTCCCTGACGGATATTCCCTGGAATCATTTCGATCCTATCAACCACTTTTCCACCGGACAGGATTCAACTTCCGGCCTCTATCCTCAGCATCCTCACTCGTCCGCTTTCTTTGGCCACGGGTTCGCTCACCTCTCCAACACCCTCTACCATCCAAGCAACAGCATCTACTTCAATATGAACACCTTATCGACCGCGGAAATGGAGAGGTTCCAGAAACTCTCCAACGAGTTTCAGGCCGACGTCCAGGTTAGCTTTTCACCATAGTTTCTGAGACGTTCCGGCTCACAAGTATTCTTGAAGGGACCCGCGGTATCAGCAAAGCAACCCAGTAGTGCAATTGCGATGGAGTATGCAAATGCGGACCCAGCATTTGCCACCAAAACCAGTGTATGTTGGCATATCCTTCCCTTTCCTTCACTACCTGGCAAAAAGAACTGAAGAAGCTGACGGCACCCCAACAGGCACTTGCTATAACACACCCTCTGACACGAACTATGAGAGGTGATGGGAACTGTGGTTGGAGAGGTAATCACTCATAGACTTCTAGCGATGGCTGTTTACTGACTCTGTGTAGCGGTTGCGTTCGGGTACTTCGAGAATCTTTTCAATCTTCAGAATTCGCTCCAAGTGCATCATGAATTGAACCGGATAAGATCCCTGAATGTACTTCTCGACCAGACGGGCCAACAAGAACACCTGTATGAGATTTTCGTCGACGCAACAGAGGATGTCTTCAACCAGATATCCCAGGCCATCCAGAGTGGCATCCGGGATGACTCGTTCCTCGTCAACGCATTCAATAGCGAGTACAACGCAGATGCTATCCTCACACATTTCAGAGTCAGTAATCCTTGACACTTTGTTTGTTGTTCTTTCCGCCCGTCGGATTTGTGTGAGGCTCTGCGACTGACCTTGACCCGCAATCTACTGCAGCTGCTGACGAGTGCGTGGATGAAACTTAATCCGCATCGATACCAAGCGTTTCTGTCAATGCCCATAGAGCAATACTGTGCGGCGCGAATAGACACCGTCAGAACGGAGATCGACGAAGTCGGGCTCCAAGCATTGGTGGATGGTGTGATCGAAGATTCTGGATTTGCCGTTGAGATCATGTACCTCGACCGCAGCGAAGGTGAAGCGGTCACTCCTCATGTCCTGACCCCGGCACGGCCGATTGCTGGGACGATCTGCCTACTCTACCGCCCGTGAGTCTCCTTTCCCATGTCCAGGCTTGACTGGGCGTCATGGGCCCTGCTAACTCGCCCTAGGGGCCATTATGATCTTCTCTACCCGGCCGAACCTACTGTGAATATGGAACCCGTGGTCAATTACCAATACGCAATGACTTCTGACTACTCCCCCTGGGATCAACAAGGTGCCCTCGCGTTCGATATGAATTCCAGTCTGATGACGATCCCCAATTTGATGATGGACCCTACTTTTGGCATGGCCCCTTCTCCGATGCCGGCAGCTCCTCCTAGTCCATATCGAGTATCACCGCCCCAGGAAGTGTATCAATCCCCCGTGCACGCCTCACCACCTCCAATGTCGATCGCATCGCCGCCACCGCCACCATTGCGAATGTCGGCGCCACCACCCCCCATGAGCTCACTGCCACCTCGGTCTACGGATGGGCCGCAAATCCGGTTGAATCCGCTGGTGATGAAACCCAATCTCAGCCACTCTCTTCCGGTCACGACGCCATTCAAAAAGTAAGAACCCCCACCTCGGCACTCATGGCTGTCTTATAGCCGTATCGAAGATGGAGTCTAATCTTTGCATTAGTTCCCCCTATAACCAAGCCCATTTCCAGAATCAGGATTTCGAACCCATCCACTGGGAGCCCAGCGATTCTCGCCGTTGAACGGTCTTTATGTCGGGCCATGTGAGCAGTAGTTTCAATTTGAACCTTTTCATGATCTATAATGCCTGAACATGTGTTACGCTCTTTCAATCGGATATGCAAGTCTGGTTTCGGGAAATGGGGACGGAGGCTATTGTCCTAGCGCGTGACTTGGCGAAGAAGCGTGTGTTCTTACCAGTATGGCATTGGCGAGGTGGTGGTTTCTTTGATGGTATTTCAAATCGCTCCAATCGCCTGTCTGTTTTTTAGCGTCTGTGCTGTGCGTCGCATTGGGGTGGGCGTGGTACCTTCAACCTTAGTTGCAAATTGTAAGACTTAATGTCAGACCGCCCTCCGGCTTTCAAACTGGACTGCGAGATGCCCTGCATGAGATGCGGTGACCGAAAGAAGCGTGGCCTGGCCAGGCTGTCAAGCTTGTTACGCGCAGTGGGAAAGTGCCTTGTGAATCAAGCGGGGTCCAGCAAGTCAGTCGGGATGAACCGGCCCTGACACCAACGATGACAGGTTCTACATCTCATGTCGAAGGCCGGGCTCGTTCTCTGCAGGGATCCCTTGCATAGTGGCTGATCAAGCACTTGGCCGATAAGCATCCTATCTGCGACGGTTGCATCATCGTTATCATCGTCAAAATAAAGACAGGCGGCATGCAATGACAAAACACCTGCCTTTCAACATCATTTGACATATCATTGCCGCCCCATGGACCACTGCCATCCCTACTCTCAAGCTTCCTGATCAGACAATCCCCCTTCAAGTAGCAAGTACGCGAGTTTATAGACCAGCGTGTCTAGGAACCTCAAGGATCTTGGGATGTATGCGGACCGAGTTGGAGCTGAAAAGGCCCATGGGTCAGCCGTGAGTTGCAAGTCTTTTGGTTCGGTCTAGGTTGCTTAATCAGTAGATCCACAGGCCCCCGTGGTGTTTCTGTTCTCAGAACCCCAGTCACATCCAACGGTCATTGATTGGTGTCCTTGTGCATTGAGGGACGGTGTCGCGCTGTGACTGCCTGACAAGCGAGAAACAACTGAAGCCAGAGGGTGACCATCACATGATGGCCCCGGGTCATCTGATCCCATCCTGAAGCACCTCATCGATTCCTGCAGCATTTTCCGGCCGGACTTGGTCATGGCTCGGGTCGACGGAGCAACTCCGCTCCATCGACCCCAGTCCGGCACGACCATTCCATTTCCCCGCATCAACCTTCGTGGTGTCGCCCTGACGCTCATTGGACGGAGCACACCCTTCCGTTTACCTCCATACTCTTTTGAAGCGTCACCTCTCTCACGGCGGTCGCACAGGTGATGCCTTAGGACGGCAGAGCTAAGTGGCGTATATCTCATGAGATGACGGGTTCATATCCAGTGGACGGAGTACTCCGCTCCGGATAGTACCATGAAGTTCCCTTGAAGTCGCAACTCACCGAGGCTGGGCACAAATGAGGTGCTATTCACAAGGGACAGCAAGCTGGAAACGAGTAACGTATTTAAGGAGACGTCGTCCCATGCCAACAGTCAATTCGTCTCGTGCTTCAGAAGCATACACTGAAGGAGCATACAGCTATGGATTCCAGTTCTGATCATTCCCACGGCGGATTCGCCATGATGTGCCAGAATCCCTACCTTTTGGGCGTTGCATCAGTGAGTCTCCAGGAACATGAAGCGTCAGACAATGCTCTAAGTCGACTTCTAGTTTTCCACCTTAGGTGGCTTGCTATTTGGATACGATCAGGGTGTGATCTCTGGTGTGATCACAATGCAATCATTCGGGGCCCGATTTCCTCGAGTGTTCTCGGACAGTGGCTTCAAGGGGTGGTTCGTGTCTACACTGCTGATCTGTATGTCAATCCTTGTCTACCATCTGAACAAGACATGGGCTCTGACTCTGTAGCTGCTTGGTTCGGCTCTATCATCAATGGCCCTATCGTGGACCGACTGGGTCGCAAGTTATCCATCAACGTCGCTGTCATTATATTCGTCATAGGATCAGCCATCCAATGTGGTGCCGTCAACATTCCAATGCTCTTTGCAGGTGCGTTTCCCACCTTCACTACTCGCATACCTGTCCGAAGCTTATACTCTTCTCCAGGACGTGCAGTGGCAGGCATAGCCATTGGCCAATTGACCATGGTGGTGCCTCTGCACATCTCCGAGGTTTGGATTCCTCAGAGACGGAAGTCATTGATCGATTAAACTCACCATCAAGTCGATAGGTCTCCCTCCCTCAGATCCGCGGTGGACTCGTTGTCCTTCAGCAACGTGAGCACTCCATCTCACCCCAACCCCACAACCACACCCACTAACCCATCTACTTTTAGTCTCCGTCACCATCGGCATCCTCGTCAGCTACTGGATCGACTACGGCACCAACTACATCGGAGGCACCCGCTGTGCCCCCAACATCCCCTACAGCGGCGGCACAGCATCCTCCCCAACATTCGATCCCTACACTGACGTCCCTCGCGGCGGATGCACCGGCCAATCCGAAGTCTCCTGGCGACTACCACTATCCCTCCAGATCATCCCAGCTCTGATCCTAGGCCTGGGCATGCTATTCTTCCCCGATTCGCCCCGCTGGCTTCTAATGAAAGAGCGAGACGACGAAGCTCTCCAAGCGCTGTCAAGACTCCGTCGACAGGATCGAAACAACCCCGTCCTAACAAACGAGTATCTCGAGATCAAAGCATCCATCATGTTAGAAAATAGCTTCGCAAGGGAACGATTCCCGAATCTGTCTGGTGTGCGGTTGCATGTTGCTCAGGTTCGTCTCTTTCCACGGCCTCCATCCAATCAGTTACCCTAAGCCCCGACTTACATCTCCCAGTATGTCTCACTTGTCACTACGTGGGCACGTTTCAAGCGTCTGGCGATCGGTTGCTGCATTATGTTCTTCCAGCAGTTTATGGGCTGTAATGGTATGGCTTTCGGTCTTTGTGGTATACGATGAATTGACTGACTGACTAACAAACGTAGCTCTGATCTACTACGCTCCGACGATATTCGCTCAGCTTGGACTCGACGGGAATACTGTAAGGCTTTATGCGTCTCATGGCTTCGATGCAGTGACTGACTATCTTATAGACTTCGCTTCTCGCTACTGGCGTCTATGGGATCGTAAATTGTCTTAGCACACTCCCAGCCCTCTTGCTGATTGACAAGGTTGGTCGAAGAGCCTTGCTCATGTCCGGTGCCGCGGGGACTTGTGTTTCGCTGGTCATTGTGGGTGGCATTATCGGGGCCTACGGGTCGAACCTGATCGACCATCGATCTGCGGGGTGGGCGGGAATCGCGTTCATCTACATCTACGACATCAACTTCTCGTACTCTTTTGGTTTGTTTCCCTACTTCTGAAAGGAAGAAGAATCCTGCTGACGCAATCATAGCTCCAATTGGATGGGTCCTGCCATCGGAAATCTTCAATTTATCCATTCGTTCTAAAGCCATGTCAATCACAACTTCCGCTACTTGGATGTGCAATTTGTAGGTTTCGTCCCTTGATATTTCCCATGAAATTGTGACTCATTGAAGACATTTTCTTCTAGCATCATCGGCCTCGTGACCCCGGATATGCTCGATTCCATCACCTGGGGGACCTATATCTTTTTCGCAGCGTTCTGTCTCCTGGCATTTGCGTTCACTTTCTTCTTCATTCCAGAAACTCGTGGAAAGGTTTGTTCTGTCTGTCTTTGTGCAATTCATATACACCTCGCTAACACGACTTCCTTGTTGCCTAGACTTTGGAAGATATGGATCTCATCTTTGGAGATACGACTGCCCATGAGGAGAAACAGCGTATCGTCCAGATTGAGGCTCAGCTCCGCGGCACCGGCCATTTCACCGACCCGGATTTCCTGAAGCCTTCCGCACAGGAGGAAGAAAATATCGCTTGAGGTTCCAACTGGTGTCGACCTCTTGCAACTTATCGCTGATAATTCTGACGAGGAGCCCCATCTTGTATCAACATATAAGGCAGATTCTTCGAGGCAATTGACTCAAGTCGATATGCCCTTCTCTACTTTTGAGTTTCGCTACATTCGCGTGTGGTTCCAGACCATCTTTAAACCCGAGACTATCATCACTTGGTAATCCCGACGATCAAACAAAATCGTGCTGCGGTGTAAAGTTCACCCATTCGGAGAAATCCATGCCACTCAGGTTCAGCTCTTGGTCCACATCTGGAAACAAGCTACCAAATGCCGGGTCATTGAAAAGCTGATCGGCAAACGGCATCAACATGGGCGGTCCCGCAGTTCTATCGGTAGCGGCGCTTGTATATGCAGGCGAACAGAGTCGGTTGACAACTTCCAGACAACGGGTCGCAAGACGGTTGTTGCTAAGCGACGGGTGTACGAGGAGCTTCTTGGTGGCTTCAATCTCCTGCAGCCAGCTGGGGGCCTCTGTACTTGTTGGATCGGTCATAAGCAGGATGATTGGAATTAGACCGGCCTGGAACAGGAAATATCTAGAGAAGGAATTAGCGGTAAGGACCGGAATAAATGACGGCGGTCCTGGGACAAACATACAACATGTACCATGCGCCTATTCTTGTGCAGACGTGGTTGTTCACGAAGTCCGCGATTGATGCTATTGATAATCGTGCATTTCGAAGACAAAGCATTCTACAATCTGCTTCGAGAGGATCCTCGGGTTCAGGAGCTGAGTTTGGTGTCCACCGGCGCGAGGCCCAGCGAAGAAGAATGGGTCGGTATAAAAGAATTCGCAGGTTCCAGTCGCGCCACATCAAACGATTGCGGACAAGAGCAAACGCGTCTGACACGGGCGTAGGTGGTTGCTTGAAGTAATCGGGAAGGCCGTTGTACCATTCATCCATTGGCTTTTGGAGGCCTAGAGTTTCTTCGGGTGTCAAACTCGGGCCCGAGATGAGACGCTGGTAGACACTGTTGGTGAGTAGATGAAACCTGGCCTGTGCGATCAACCCTGAATAGAGGGTTGGCTCGTTGACTTCGGGAGGTAGAGTAGTTGTGATGGACGTCAGAGCCTGCGGGATGAATCATTTAGCATCCTCAGAGGACTAATATGTATGAGATCCCAGACTTACCTCGTCATGAATATTGAGAACATGCTTCGCATCCATGACACTATCTTCAGGCAAAAGAATTGGCCGGCCGAAAGTTTTAGCCGCACCACTATCGAATATATAGACACCCCACCACAGACGTCTCCTGACCTCACGCTGAAGAAGGCTTATCTTCCAACCAGGGAACTCTTTATGGAGGCCCAAGCTCATAGCCATCCTAACCGCCAACCCGAGAAAGTTCCAGCCGGTATTGGGTTTGTTTCGTTTCTGCGCATAGTTACTCAAAAGTAGCAATGCCTGAACAAGAGTAAGGTTTCCGGTTTCGAACACGGACACCTGCTGCAAATGGCTTCTCGCCTCTTGGTAGAAAGTAATATCCAGGTCTGAGTTATCGTCGCCGATGCTCCATGCGCCTAGGGCTAATATGGTGTTCAATAGGATCTGCCATGCTTGACCGTGTGGTCGTGGGATTTGCTCGTGGAATTGCGCCCGAAATGTACCCTCGTGGATGAAAGGGTAGCTGGTATGATAATTCAGAAAGAAGGCATCCATAAAAGCTTGCTCAATGAGACCGGAAGGCGCAGTACTGAGTAGCTGGGCCTTCAGAGGTACTCTTTCCACCCCATAACTCGACTTTGTCGACCTAGAAGGAATGTTGAGGTCAAACCCATGCTTAAGTAACGCTCGAAGCGGCACAACACTTGAGGACGCGCCTAAATTAGAACATTAGTACCTTTCAGGATATATTCCGAAGCAGCCGGTTACACTAACCGAAGTACCCGGTTCCTTCAGGCTTGATAGACAAAGCTGCCATGCCATCAGTCAGGTCGCCAACTGTAATCTTGTTCTCGACCCAGTCAAATCCATCGGCCTGCTGCGGCAGCGCTTCCGGGGCTGGTTCAGCCCGGTCCGGCTCAGCTTTGGCTGGGGTGGAATGCCTGGATGAAGACTTGGACGAGGAACCGGGCTTTGGTCCCTCCTGATCGTGCAAGAGAGAGCGAACGGTAGCATCCAAGTCGCCTCCCGGGAATAATCTTGTTAAGGCCGTTTCAAACGCCTGCAAGCGGTCCTCCACATAAGTCAGATGCCTGGGTAAGTATTAGCAGGTCGTTAATGCCATGGGCAATGGGAGTTTAAGGGCGCGTAGATCAAATTCATAGAGGTACTCACTGCCGTGTCAGAGGACTTCTGGTGACCTTCGGGCTGTAATTGCATTCTTTATTGAGTTGTTTGCATTGTGCGCATATCGGCTTCTCCTTTGAGCACTGGGATAAGGTTTAGCTACATAATGCCTAAGTTGACTGCTTGAGAGCAGCTTACCTTAGACTTCCGCAGACGGCACTCATCACACTGCGTGCGCATACTTAGTTTGATGGGTTGCTTCTCCGCTTTTACATCGGGGACTCACAGCATAGGAGTGGGAATCACGAGTACTGGCCATGTTTATGGCAGAAACTCAAGTTTCATGTACCCCAGATCTCGTGCGCGCTGGAATGTACACCAAACTGATGTCATCTGCGGAGAGCTTGTTAGCCGTCAACTACTTGTGTTCTGAATAATAGATATTGTGCTGCGCCGCAGGATAAGCCGGATGAAGTATGAAGAATATGGATACATTGTAGACCCATTTCCTACGGGCCGAAAGATGATAACAAGAGGGAAGTCCGGGTAGTCATAAGGCCCAGCCTAGGATGATCGAGGAATGTACAGGAAGTCTCAGAAGCCGGTAGCTCTAAGTTGGTTCCAGTACCGGTGGGGTATTGGACAGAAAGCGAGGTGCCTGAGAACGCGCGCTTGGAGCGAGGGACATGGATGGGGCCAACTCACGATCGGCACGGAAGCAGTCAAGGGCCCAACGCTTTTGGAGCCGGACGATAAGTTATCAGGGACGGTTCCGACCCTCCAAACCCATAAGCTGACGAGAAGAGGACGAGACCTGGATGGATGCACGGCCAGCGAGAGCGACGATGATTGCTGATGGACTTTTGGCTCGTGTGGGGGAGCGCAGTCAGGTGACGGGCCGAAAATTTCCTCCTCGAATTTCAGGAATCAACGGCATCGCACCCTTAGGCAGGAAAGTATCGGTCCCCTGTTCTGAGACCAGGATCATCAAAATAATAATACGACATACCATAGCCTGAGAAGAAAGCAAGACGTCCAGCAATTCGCATAAATGCCTCAGTGATCGGCACAGGTGACGTGAGCTAATGTAGCGTGAATGGCATGAGAACGTGATAATACCATCAGTCCTAGTAGTATCTCCTGATGCGGGATGGGGACATCGTATTTCATCTTTATCTCTCGCATGGACACCCTGCTTGTGAGGGGCTTCGGTGAGGGGCCTCTAGATTTAATCTATCCGACAGGCAAACATACTAGTTAACTAGTAGTACGAGCAAATTAGTAAGATGATCATGTTGTTTAAAGGGCTAGTACAAAACCTCTCAGCGGGGTTATCAGCAGCATGCAGAGGGGGCGGTTGACCTACCTTATCGCTGGGGGCGCTCTGAAATATATAGTAGTTACACTCTTGACCTGATCAGAGTTCGACTAGAGACAACCCAGCATGACAGAAGCAGTGAAGAAAGAGATATATGGACTGATGAGGAGTAAAGCCGGGAGAAAGAGCCTTTGGCCGAATGTGAAGATGCCATGGCAGCAGCAGCGACCAGCGAGACTCTCACTCTCATCGTGCCTTCCATCTTGAGCGATCCAGTGACCGAGTGCTCTCGCTGGCGGTCAGCCTTGGCACCACCCCCGCCGACCAATCGCAAACTCCACAGGAAAATCAATTTTATACAACGTCATTTGCAAGAGCAGAAAATACAACTGAAATTGACCGCTACATTCTCGTTCTCGCATTCCTCTATTTCTTCTTGAAAAGCGCCTCTGTATTATTCGACCAAGCCCCCTTCGATCCGGCAGGTTCGACGTGCTCAGCGCCATGCCCAGCCAACCGCCCCTCCCTCCCCTCCTCACACCCTACGCGTCGTCGCTACCGCCGTCGTCTCTCACAGTTTTATCTTCAGTGCTCGGCGCAACAGGAAATTGGCTAGTTTTGAGGTTCCTCTATGCCGCCCTGACCACGTCTTCAGTATCAGATGCTGCGCTAGGTCTCAGCGAAACCAGTCATGGGAAAAAGAGAAAGGTAGTGCTCGTGAGTTTTCTGCGGGGTTGGGATTTTTGGAGAACCGAGGCCAAGAGATTGGTATGTTTATGAGCCTCCTTTACGCCGCTTCGTTTATCACTATATTCTTTTTCCTGGGTCTGCAAGGTCGCGCTATTCTTGGTTACCCCCTGGAGCTTTTGGTTGTCTTCCGATCAATGGCATTCAAATACTAACCGGGCTAGGGCCTCGATCTTGCCCGCCTCACAGACAAGCAAGAATTCGCATTCGTCGATGGACTCTCCGAACTCTTCTCCGCTCCGTCCACTGCGTCTACCCAAGCGCCCATACACCAATCCTCACTACGCGGTGCCGTGCCTCCTAGGACAGTACTGCCCCTCAGGTCGCAGCCGGGACCCGTTCCCGCACGAGGGCCGCAACCCGCCCCTCGGCCAGTCGCTGCCGCTCCGAACCCGCCAGCATCGAAAGAAATCGGTCCAGTTAAGCGACTTCGTTTGTCAGGAAATGGGCCAGCAGCCTTAGACGCGTTGGAAAAGGACATTGCTGCCGTGATCAATGGAGTGAGGACACCGACACCCGGAGATGGACAGGAAGATCCCGAGGTATTGCTGGTCCTCGACCAACCTGATCTGCTACTAGCTGCTACGGGTCCGAGCAAGGGTATAGGCGCTACAGAGATGGGAGATTGGGTGATGGGGCTACAACAGGTATGCTGCTAGTCTCTCGCAGATCAGGTGGGGTGGGTGCCAGGCCGCCGACGACCATCCTGAATTGTGATACTTAATCCGGGAAACGTCTCCGCTGACCATGTCACTACTTTTATCTAGTACGCTCACGCGACGGTTCTAACCGTCTCCGCCGATTCTCCGTTGATACATAATGCATCCACATTTGCGCACCAACCGTCTACCCCGCTAGAGACCGAGCATGCTGCTTTTGCTATTGGAACGGCTCATCGGGCGCATATGGTTATGCAGCTCCGGAACCTAGAAACAGGTGCCGCAAGGGATGTCAGTGGTGTGCTGAGGGTCAGCAAAGGAGGCGCGTGGGGGCAGAATGACAGCACGGAGGGTGATAGCCATTGGGAGGAGAAGGAAGTCTTATACTTCGTTCAGAGAGACGGCGGCGTTAGCGTCTTTGGCCGAGGGGAGTAGATACTATGGGGCTATGACGCATCAATCCTTGTCAGGTTCAGGCGTTAAGGCGCATGTGAAGATGATAGACCAGATGAATAGAAGACTTGTCGCGATTGTCCCGAAGAGAACACTGATTGCTGTGGAAGTAATGCCGTACGCCTCGGAAGTCGGATTGCATTCAAGTAGACAGATCACATTGGATGAACATCTCAAACTGCATCTGTCACGACATGGGATATCCGCCAGCCCTAAACAAGACAAGGAATTTTCATGCAAGCATTCCCATTTTTTGAAACAAAACCCTCAGAGAGATTTCCATCTTTTCATTTTGTCGTCAATATATGCCATTTTTCTGTTTCTCTAGAATAGAAATGCTATGACGGCAAAGATGAAAAAAAAGACCGTCCCACCACCAACTCCACGGGGGAAAAGCGTCTTTTATTTCCGCCTAGCATTGCGACCCGTTCATGTCGTCAAATGCCCGGCCCTGTCATACCAGCCCTGCTCCAGCCTCCGAGAACGAAACGAAACCGCGACAGTCGGAAATAAATCTAGGCGCTCTCGGGGCCCTTGGCGCCCTTGGGGGTGCCGACCTGGAAGCCGTTGTGGAAGCGGCGGTGGACCTCCTTGAGGTGGCGCATGCGGCCGGTACCGGTGGTCTTTCTGCGCTTGGCCTTCTCGCTCCAGTTGACTGTAGAACCAAAAAAAAACTCGTAAGCCAATATATCCTCAACACGTCAAGGTATCATTCATTGTCAAGGGATCAACCGATTGCTCGATAGGTTTGTCGATCAAGCAACGTGGGGTCGGGGGAGAGAGAGAGAATTTCGTACACTTGCGAGTCTTAGCGGCAGGGTAACCGCAGTTGGCACAAGTCGACTTCTGGATGTGGAAGGAGCGTTTGCCTGAATGATCCCAAGCGCAATCTGTTAGCCCATCTGGTCGTCCCATATCTACTTCCTCCCCGGCGGCGTGTTTCTTTATTATTGTTTCCTCCATCCCGTTTATAGAGATCCGCATATTCCGCCCGCTTTATCATCCCGGAGTAGTGTAATACTGACCACAACGCCTGCAGAGAGTGTGGGTTTTGTTGTGGCGCTTGCCAAAGCTGGAGGTACCCTTCGCTGTAATCGGTGTCAGTCTGCCATAGGTTCTCGACGATGGATCGGACTGGGCGGTGGTATATCGTGTTGGCACGTACTCATCTTGAATTAAGGAACTGGAACAGGGAAGCACAACTTGTCAGCGAACACGAACAAAAAAATTCCGGGCCTGGAGAAATCCTGCAATCTCCCACGTGAGGGCGAAAATAACCTACCTGGCGATTCCGTTGAAGGGCTGGTTGTCGTTGTCGTCGTCGCTGGGCGTATCGAAGTTGCGCTGGGATCTGGGGTGGTGTCGCTTAGCGAGTTGTGGTCTTGAGGGCTTGTGCCCTGGTCCCGTGATTCGCCGTGGCCTTGAAAGGCGGAACGTCACATGACCTCATCATTGATCTCGCTGGACCCCACTTCTAGCTCCATTACACTAAGCCACTAAACCACTAGCGCAACACGGCCCGGGAGCAGTAAGGCTATCTACAAACTACCCATACGGAGCATCTATAGTAGAGCGATTGTAAACAAGCTTAATGCATCATAGCTACAAAAGCCGATTTGAAGTATGCGCATTTTGGATGGGTATCTATCATAAGTGCTAAGCGACCATGCAGTAGAACTGTTGAAGTATCAAAAATTAGGTATAGGGCTTTTATACAAGGTCGTCTTTGCCAATGAAAGCAGCCATAGGATCGTCGGCTGCAAGTCGGCTTCGCTTATATGATTCAATCTCTTCCTCAGAGATTCCAGACTGCACTTCCATCAGTGTCCTCTTCTTCGCATTGGATGCCTCCTTTGGCTGCTCTGTCTGAGCGTCGTTGGGTGTGGCGTTGGTTTCCTCCGCTTCCGCAGATGGCTCTTCAGCACCGGCATCGGCATCAGTCAGCATCAACAATTGATCTGCTTCCTGGAAAGCGCGCTTTCCATCTTCACCAGTGCAGTAACTGTTTTTAACAGTGGAAAAGCAGCAGGTATATCCCCACTCAAAGTTGTGCCACCAGCTTCCCCAGACGGATGTGTGGTTGTTACTGAAGATATCTTCAGCGTACTTCGACTTGGCTGCCTTCTTAGGTGCGCCCTTGACCGCACCCGTTTCGTCATATTCGACGAACCGCTCATTCTCGACGACCATCGTATCTCGCAACGGTGTGGGGTCGAGGTGTTCCTGGCCACCGTACTTCTCCAGCAGAGCTTTGCGTTGAGCTTCACGTTTCGCCACAGTTTCCGCCTCTTCCTTCTTGCGCATGACCTCTCCAGCTGTCGGATTTGCCTGCAAATGGATCTTCTGCGAGCCGCGTTCTTGGGACTCCCAGGCATATCTTTGCGCCTTCTCAAATTCGGCGGCGTCACCGGAAGCGCGAACAAAGTTCTCTTCAGCTACAAGGGCGGCTGCTTGATCATCCTGGGCGCCCATGTCGACCATCCGTCGTGTCTTAGGGTCATACTTGGCCGAATCAAGGTCCAGGTTCAACAAATACTTCGCGGTGTCTTCTCGGATACGGAGGTTGCGGGTGGCGGTGCTCTGTTGTCTTCCCATGTCGGACTCCTCAGCGTAGCGGGCTTCCTCTTGAGGCGCATCTTCATCATCATCGGCTTCACCATTGTTCTTTTCACTATCCTGCTTAGCGAGTCGTTTCAACTTCTCCAGTTCTTCGTACTCCTCCACCACTTGTTGATATTCGCTCGGATCGTAGCCGTTCCACCGATCTCTCTTGGCATCCCATCCCAAATTGACGTCTTGTATAACTTCATCTGCCTGGATATCCTTGCCCGTCCACTTAGCGCCTTGCTTTCGAGGACGACTTAGGCACTCTTTCGTCTTGTGGGTCATGGCGCCGCAGTTCTCACAGGCGCCTTTCCGGTACTTGGTGGCCGCGGGGCCCGCACGCTTTCCACGGTCGTACCATTTCGACTGGTCGGCTGTCGACTTCTGGAGACGTTGATGTTCGAGGTAATCATTGGCGGAAGAGTCGTCGTCGATATAGAACGGCTTCTTCGAGATGAAAGATGGAATGTATTCGTTGCGCTCTTTCGACGCCACATCGGCGGGCTTTTTGGACATGGTGACGGTGCTGACGAGACAGCCAGCGCAGAGTATGAGGGGAGTGAAGCGAAGTCGTTGCGCCCGCAGAAGACCAAGGTGTTTCAGGGATGATCACCCGTTGCGTGGAAGTGGTTGCGTCTAGAGCGTTCTTATGGCGCCCCGATGGGAGTCGGCAACGGTTCCGTATTGCGCACGTGACCTGGCGTATTTCCGCGCCACCGGGCGCGTCACTCACCCACCACTTCTGACACGTCCCGTCGCATCCATCATAGAGGGGCGAATGGGGAAGCAGTGAGCGATGCTATTTGCACCCGAATCGTTGATATGATGCTATTCGAGATTGCTCTCGCGTTATGTCGTTGACAGCTTCCGCTGTCTCGAAACTAAGCCATGGAACCCTTCCAAGTGCGCCTCAACTGCGTGGATCATTACCAAGCAACTCCGTCAGAACTCGATCCTCCCCTGGCATACAGGGATGGTGCGGCGGGGAAGAATGATAGATCGAAAGTCCCCGTAATTAGAATCTTTGGAGCCACCGAGACTGGCCAGAAGGTGTGCGTCCATGTACATGGCGCTTTTCCTTATCTGTATGTCGAGTATGATGGTGATCTGGATCCAGAGAAAGGTTGGTTTGGTGAGGTGTAACATCCATGTTCATGCAACTAAGACTTTTCTAGTGAGCTCCGCCATCAGGAGTCTCCGGCTCTCAATTGACCAGGCTTTGGCAGTAAGCTACAATCGCAACGAAAATGCCAAGAAAATCCCCTTTGTCGCGCATATCACGCTCGTGAAAGGCGTTCCCTTCTATGGGTATCATGTGGGCTATAAAATTTACTTTAAGATTTATCTCATGAGCCCTGTTTATACGACCAGACTTGCCGACTTGCTGCTCCAGGGGGCTATCCTGAAACGTCCTCTACAACCATATGAAAGTCATCTGCAGTTTATCCCTCAGTGGATGTGTGACTACAGCTTGTACGGGTGCGCTTCTATGAAGTGTAGTAAAGTCAAATTTCGCACCCCAACCCCGGAATACCTTGAACTTACTGACCTGTCTCATCGCTGGCATGATCGATCAATCCGGCCTGAGGATCTGCTAGACGAGTCAGTCTTCCCCAAGCAAAGCCATTGCCCATTGGAGGTCGATGTTTGCGTCCAAGACATATTAAATCGCTCAGAAATCAGTGAAAGATCTATCCACCATGACTTCACTGAACTATTGCAACCGATGGCTTCTGACGAACGGCTTGTTCCAAGCATGGCAGGTTTGTGGCAGGATGAGACACGAAGGCGAAAGAAGCGCCTCGGACTAGAACCGGGCAGTAGCCCATTCGATCCCCACGAGCTAGTTTCCTTGTCCGTTAACTCAAGAGATCACTCTAGAGGAGGCTGGATCCACGAAGAGGAGTATCGCCAGATGGCCGTGCAGACTATGGACGAGGAAAAGAACGAGAGTGGCGGAGATCAAGTGACATTCGATGATATACTCTCGCAGAAGCCCTTCGCAAAAGATGTAAAGACTGCGATGCAGAGCGTTGAGGATTTATTTCCGGACAACAGCGATTCTGCCAGATATCAATACCAACCCGATCAAGCAGATGCAGCTGCGGATACGGAAGTAAATGTGGATGAGACTGCCTCTTGGCCTGCTGGATCCGATGGAGACTCTTACTTCTCAGACGATGATATTCCCGACATAATTTCCGGTGAAGAGAGCGGAGACGAAGCTACAAGTACAGTAGATGGCGACCAGGACGAAGATATCGTTCTTTTAATTCCCCAAAATGGGGCCGATACTGATCAGGCACGCGAGCCTGTTTCTCATATGAGCGATTTCAATCACCAGACAAACTTCATTGTCAAGCGCAACCCTGATCCAGATGTAAATGCTCACCCGGATGCTTTTGAGAGAAGTACGATGCACAACCGCCGCGAAATCCAAGAGCCCGGCCATGACCGTCCGCGCAAGCGGCAAAGGTATTTCGATGATACTCCATCACAGAGGCTAGACAGACCACAGAAGTTTATGAGGACTGGCAGTCAAGTTTACAACGCAAACTCCAAAGCCGAAGATGCCGTCAACAACTCGGATACACCCGCAAACGGTATTTCTTCACAAGGGAAGTCATCGCGATCGGCTGTCCGTCCTAGTAGACAGGAGCAGAATGGAAGGCTCAACTTTCCAGTTGTCAAAGATCCCAATGATCCTATGACGGTTCTACGCTTCAGTCAGGACGGTGCACCTTCCAAGGAGCTGCGGGAATTTGAAAGCGACATAGTGCGTTCTGAATCTAATGCAGGTGTCGCCAGAGGCATTCGAGTGAACAATAATCCATCACACCCGCAGTCATCATCTACGAGATTAGAGCCTGATGGTATTCCAGACGCAGTGGTATTGGAGATGGCGTCAAGTATCCGGGCGGCCTTCAATATGCCAACGAACGCTCGCATCTGTTTCTTGCGAACATCATGTCCCGCTCCCAGTGAGGTCTCTTCAACTCCCCATAGTTATGATTACCCGTCTGTTGTCTATCAAAAAGCCTACTACAGCGATGAAAACGACGTGCCTGATCGTCCGAGGGACTATGCAGGCAGGGAATTTCGCTTAGAAGGTAATGGTATACACTACCTCCCGGATTTCGATCCGTCGGGACGTTCGATGGCGATGCTGGGCGAGCAATCTACGACAAGAGACAAGGATGACCAGGAGGCGATCGACCAGCAACTTCGAGTGTTCTCCACGTCCAGGTTATGGGAATTTGCTCCTGTTCCCCCAACCCGCTCAGAGGTTGTTGAATGGTTTGAAAAGGTTCAAGCGGAGGAGAAGTCTAATGTCATTCACCCTAAAGGCCGCACACAGGGGGAAGTAAGGGCGAATGTCATGTTGCAAATCGAGGGCCCTACACAGAAGAATGACTATGGCTTCAAATACTCACAGAAAGGAAAGTCTACCAGTGTGGAGCATCAGGCCCAGTACATGAGCATCATGGGCCTGGAAGTGCATGTGAACACCCGCGGGGTGCTGTCACCAAATCCAGAGGAAGACGAGATCACATGCGTCTTCTGGTGCCTACAGTCCGAAAATGGCGATCTCGATGCCAATGGTACAGTGCCAGGTGTCCATGTTGGTATGATATCTCAAGGAGAAGATGACAGGCCAGATATCAAGATTTCCAAGGCTTTGAGAATTGATTGGGAGCATGAAACGACTGAACTTGATTTGATCAACCGAGTAGTAGACATTGTCCGCTGGCATGACCCAGATATCATCACTGGCTATGAGGTGCACAACAGCTCTTGGGGCTACCTAATAGAGCGGGCTCGGAAGAAGTATGACTTTGACATCTGCGACGAACTGTCCAGAGTAAAGTCACAATCGCATGGAAGGTTTGGCAAGGATGCCGACCGATGGGGATTCAACCACACCTCGTCTATTCGAGTGACCGGACGACACATGATCAACATTTGGCGAGCCATGAGAAGCGAGCTGAACTTGTTGCAGTACACACAGGAAAACGTCGCGTTCCACCTACTGCACCGTCGTGTTCCACACTACTCTTCCCACGACTTGACAGAATGGTATCGAAGTGGAAAGCCTCGCAACATATTGAAAGTAGTCGAATACTTCGTCTCGCGCGTGCAGATGGACCTTGAAATCCTGGAGTCAAACGAGCTGATCCCCAGGACTAGCGAGCAAGCCCGACTGCTAGGCATTGACTTCTTTTCAGTATTCTCGCGTGGCTCTCAATTCAAGGTTGAATCCCTGATGTTCCGCATTGCGAAGCCGGAAAACTTCATGCTTGTTTCTCCGAGCAGAAAACAAGTTGGCCAACAAAATGCGCTTGAATGTCTCCCCTTAGTCATGGAACCTCAGAGTGACTTCTACACGAGCCCTCTAGTGGTGCTGGATTTCCAGTCATTGTACCCTAGTATAATGATTGCATACAACTACTGCTACTCCACCTTCCTTGGACGAGCACGTCAATGGAGAGGCCGGAACAAGATGGGGTTCACCGACTACCAAAGACAGCCCCGAATCTTAGAGCTCCTCAAAGACAAGATCAATATTGCGCCAAACGGCATGATATACGCGAAACCGGAAGTGCGCAAATCACTCCTTGCAAAAATGCTCGCAGAGATCCTCGAAACTCGAGTGATGGTCAAGACCGGCATGAAAATGGACAAAGAAGACAAGGCCTTGCAGCGTCTTCTCAACAACAGACAGCTCGCCCTCAAGCTAATTGCGAACGTCACCTACGGGTATACCTCAGCCTCATTCTCAGGCCGCATGCCCTGTTCCGAAATCGCCGACAGCATCGTCCAATCCGGACGCGAAACGCTCGAAAAAGCCATCGCATTCATCCACTCCGTCGAACGCTGGGGAGCCGAGGTAGTCTACGGCGACACGGACAGTCTCTTCATTTACCTCAAAGGACGCACACGAGACGAAGCCTTCACCATCGGCGAAGAAATCGCCAAATCCGTCACCGAAATCAACCCTCACCCAGTCAAACTCAAGTTCGAAAAGGTCTACCACCCATGCGTCCTCCTAGCCAAGAAGCGCTACGTCGGCTTCAAATACGAGCACCGGGACCAGACTGAGCCCGAGTTCGACGCCAAAGGCATCGAAACCGTCCGACGAGACGGCACACCCGCCGAGCAGAAAATCGAAGAAAAAGCCCTGAAACTCCTCTTCCGCACCGCCGACCTCAGTCAAGTCAAACGCTACTTCCAATCCCAATGCACCAAGATCATGCAAGGCCGCGTGTCCGTCCAAGACTTCTGCTTCGCCCGAGAAGTCCGCTTGGGAACCTACAGCGACCGTCTCCCACCACCAGGAGCCCTCATCAGCGCCAAAAAGATGCTCGCCGACCCCCGCTCCGAGCCCCAGTACGGGGAACGCGTCCCTTACGTCGTGGTAACCGGTGCCCCCGGCTCCCGCCTCATCGACCGCTGCGTACCCCCCGAAACACTCCTCCACGACCCTCACCTCGACCTCGACGCAGACTACTACATCACCAAAAACCTCATCCCCCCTCTCGAACGAATCTTCAACCTCGTCGGCGCCAACGTCCGCCAATGGTACGACGAGATGCCAAAAGTGCAGCGCGTGCGTCGCGTCGAAGGCACAATCGCCGCTTTCGGGGGCGGTAGGAAGACTCTCGAATCGTACATGAAGTCGTCGACATGTGTGATATGTAAGGCGCGGTTAGAGGACGCGGATGTTCCGGTTTGCTCGGCGTGTCTGCGACAGCCGCAGCTGGGGTTGTTTGAATTGGTTTCGCGTCAGCGGGGCGCGGAGAAGAGGGTGGCGGATTTGCATCGGGTTTGTCGGTCTTGTATGGGGGTTCCGTTTGCGGAGGAGGTGAGTTGTGATAGTAAGGATTGTCCGGTGTTTTATTCGCGGACGAGGGACTTGGCGAATTGGAGACATACGAAGGCTGTTTTGGATCCTGTGATTAAGTTGTTACAGGAGAAAAGCGAGAAGGAGTTAGAGTGGTAGGGCTAGGTGGTTGGTTGCTCTTGGTTAAGTTTGGGCATGGCTTAGATGTTGGTTTTGAAGGCGTTTTTGTTTCTTCGTGGATCGGTACAGACAGGCACGGGGTTCTGGTATGAGGGTTCGGAAACGTACATGTACAACAACTTCTACTATACTCTACGGGACTGGGTTAAGGAAAGTACGCTCGAAAGACCTGTATCTCTAAAATTAATCACATGCATGAATTCATTCCACGATCAACGTTATCAAGATAGAGCAATTTGGAGAGAAAAATGATCGAAAGAGGATACAAGCATCTTGTTCGCGACTGAAGTATGACCTATGAAAGTCGAAAGGTCTAACGAGAATGGTGGCCAATGCATCCATATTCTCAGAATCCGAGCAGGTCGTTAAGTCTGTCGAGAGCAGAAGGCTCCACATCGCCTTCCTCGACAATATGAACGCATGCATCTTCCTTGACTTCTTCCTTCATCACCATACGCATCGCTGTTGGTTCTGGGACGGGTTGTTCCTGCTTCTCGGGAATTACATCGCTTGCTTCGTCGTCATTGAGGTCTAGCAATGTGACTTCACCAGGAACGACAGAAGGAGCAGTGAGGGTAAAAGGCGATAACTGTGGGGAGTCCGTAAAGCCAAAATCAATGAGTTGGTCGTGAATCCCGATACTCTCTGGGCTGGCGTGATTAGCAGAAGGGCCCGTATGTAGCAATAGCTGGTTGGATGATGCACTGGCCGCGCGCTCCTCGTCTGTGAACAGACCGAAGGGGTCTTCCGGCATGATATTATTGCTATTCTGAGTCTTCAGGGCATCCACATCGACCGAGGCAGTTTCCCCTTGTTTCAGTTTGGTTGCTTGAGAGGTATCGTAATGCTGGAGTGCAATTCCACCCAGTATATGGGGGAAGATCCAAGGAAAGCTGATGAGTGGCAGCTGATTCATTTTGGGAGTGGGCCTGCTGTTCCCATCCTGCGAGGATTTCTCACGATGCTTTTTGAGTGCTGTAGTCATTTCCTCGTGCGTAACTCGGTACATAGCGAGAGCTAGTGGTGCTAGCAGGACGAAGGTGCGACCGCCTACTTTCTTGTAGCACTGCTTTCTGAAGGTTTCGCGATGCGCCGCTGAGATCATACCAATTTCTTCATGAAATTTGTAGTCCTTGCTCAGATGAGAATGGCCGAGGACAAAGGTAGACCAAACTTCGAATTCGGTTTTGATCTCGTGTTGTGCCATTATTCGGCGCATAGCTGCATCGTGCTCTACCTTGAGATTCTTCACGAAAGTGTACAGGTCTTCGCTAACTTCGAGCCTGCTGTTGAGGATTCGCTCGTCAAAAGGCATTTCCAAGCTGGGGACAAAGTCGACCCTCTCCACAGCGTCGTATAACTGGCCAAGGATCTTAGGTGAGCGGTAGAGTTTGTCCTTTGGCCTGGGCTTCTCCATGAAATGAGGCCACATGCGTGGCTGCAGGCTGCGGATCATCATGGCCGGGCTCCCTGTCTTGTTGTAGTCTACCGCGTCAGAATGGAGCTGGGCGAGTCGAATGCACTTTTCTTCGTTGACGCCATCCTCGAGCCAATCTGCCCATGCAACGTGAGCGTGGGCGATTGTCGGGAGGCTGTCATTCTTCATGTACGTGACGAAGAATGAGGTGACCTCGTCCACTGTAACGTCATGATCTAAGTCCTGAGCCTTGTTGCTCGTATAGCGCATCGGCTCTCGGAACCAGTCATTGTGCAGTAGATCCTGGTCCCAGATGACCAGATAATCATCACCATCAAGGTCTCCGCCGGAGCACATGCTCGCAATATCTCGATCTCCGGTCTGTGGCAGGACGACTACATCATGGAGGTTACGCAGCTCTGGAACGTTGACAGCTTTGACAACCCGAATGTCTCCGGGGTGAAGCGATGGATTGCGTGCCAGGATACAGAGCCCTTCGATGACTTGATACTTTGCACCAGAGCCTTCGGGGCGAGAAATCTGCAGAAAGATCTCAGGCAATGCTGCAATCTTTTGCTCGACGGGAGCGTCTTCCTTCGGAACCTGATCATAAAAGTGACCTTTCAGGATACCGGTTTCATCCATGATTCCCAGTAGGTTCGCACCCTTATCAATGACAATCTTCGCCTTCTCCTTCAAGTATTTGAGATGCCAGGTCCTCCACAGTGCGAGAATAGAGGTTATGAATGGCTCTTTAGACCTTCGGAACCCATCGGATACCATTTGACTGACAGTGAGAGTTGTCTGGTTAGGATCGACGTACTTCTTTAACACCTCGATTGCGCGCGAGTCACTTTCCATAGCTTCGTTGAGGGCCTGTAGCATCGTCCTGAGCTTATCGTGAAACACATAATCAGTGATCCCGAGCGTAGATAACACCAGAATCAGCTGTCTGTTCAACGTAGCCATTGAGAATTGAGACCACCTGATAATCTCCAACCCATTATGGATGGCCGAGAATTTGTGCTGACTCTTGCGAATGTGAACTTCCTGGGGCTGCGTGTCGGATGAAACGGCAAGCATACCCTTGCAGCCTCCCAGACGAAATTGGAAAGCAGATGGGGGATCGCCAGTTGGCGTCTTGATTTTCAGTTCGTTCATTGCCATTTGTGCAAGGAATCGCGAGATCTTTCCAACGCCATCAGAGAAAGTATATCCGTTTCGCTCCACGTCATCAATCTTGCGTATCTGCACCGGACAACCGGCTATGGCTCGAGTCGTCGAGAAACATTGACCCAACCGTGCTGCATACTTCGCAACGTTGCGAATATTGTTGAAATGTCCCATCCAAGCTCGCATGTTGGCAGCTGTCAGGTCCGGTAGCGGGGCAAAGAAATACGCTCCATGCTCACGGAACTGGGAGTTACCAAAAGCGAGGAACTCATAACGTCTGTCTCCAATGACAATGCCATTTGCCAAAGCCCGCTTGATTCGAGTAAATATCTCGTCATTGCTATCATCACTCGTGGCATTGATACGACCAAACATCTTCTCGTCAGTGAACCGAACTCGGAGGAAGCGATCCGCGTGTTCCATATAGCGTCTAATGATCCGGTTCGAGATATCCACGGACGGCAAGTTGTAGTACACGGTGCTGGGGGTGATTGTGGCAGATCGCATATAGCAACAGTACGGAGGGATCTTTGCATTGGTCACGCCTTTCACGAACAACAGGTCAAAGATCTTCATGGGATCAAAGTAGCGCTGTTTTTGGTTTGCCACATGCTCCAGGAGCTTCTTAGCTTTCGCTTCCCCAAGCCCAGCCAGTTTGACAGCGAACTCACGCGTCATGTTGAATTCGGAAAGAAATCCATTGGAGATGCAGACTTCAAGCTGGTAGCGGACGGAGAATGGCAAATGGACATAAGTGGAGTCGATCAGGTCATGCAAAGACGACGCGCTCGGCGATGCCGCAGCATCCGACAGATCGATCCATTTCCACACTGGCGGCATCCTTTTTTTGCTGTCATTCCAGTTGGTGAAGCGATCTGATTGCTCAATTGAGACATTGTAATCCTGGAGGATATTACAAAGCTGACCAAACTTCCCCTTTTTGTTACAATCACTGGGGTAATCGATTCTGAACGTATTCCAGCGGCCTGTAGGGTATACGAGCGATTAGCAAGACCTAGCGTTGAGCAAGAAGCGAGCGAGGACGCACCAATATCAATAATGGGCTTATGCCTTGGTAGGGTAACTGGAAGAGCGGATAACTGAAGGGGATTATGGACAATGTGTGTTTGTCGGTACCAACAATCAGAGTCCCTCCAACTTCCGTCTTCGATGAACGTGGCTTCTATATCTCTGATCCGGCGGTGGTACATGGGCGGAGAGTCCAGCGCAGTCAACTGAGATATGGCTCCGGTTGCAAGATCCCGAGACTGAAAGATTTTGTTCATCTGCCGAAAGGGGATCTTGAGACGATAACTGTGCCAGGTGTCTGTGATGGAGGCTGATTTCTGGCCTGAGCTGAATATCTGCAATTTAAAGAAGATGTACAGTGTCTTCTGCTTGAGATTGAGAAGCATGTAGGGGGCGCCAGCCGAACTAGCTTCAACCGTCCGCATTGGCAGAAACGTTGTTTCGTTGAACATGACCCCAATATCGAGTGAAGAGATTGGTATCGTCTAGATGAGACAAAATTATTAGGTAAATGTTGATCTGGCGTGGAATGGCGACCGGAAATACTTACGAGCTCAACTGGATACCGGACAGTGGGGCGGACTGGGCTTGGAACTTCGAGCTCCGAGAATCTGGGTGATTCAAGAGCTACAGAGATACGTGCTGTTCGTCCGTTTGGCAGTGTGATAGAGTACGTCCCTGCTCTCCAGAAGTCCGTATCCGGCGGCGGCCTGGTCCAGGGTTAGCGATGCCTGAGACATTCAGATAAAAAGAGAGACTAACTTGAAGCGGACCTTCCCCTTTGGCTCCCTTTGGCCGTGGTGATCTTCAAAAAGATCAATTGAGAAGATGGTACCTTCATCTTTGAAGGCTTTCCAGATAGCATGGGCATTAGCTTCCAGAGGAAGGTTAGTGATCTTGATCGCCACAGTCTCCCACAGCCGCCATGGGGCTAGGATCTGAGGGGAGCTGTGAGAAGGAGGAGACATCGTCTCAGAACGGCACCCCTTTCCCCTTGGATGTTGTGGTTGTTTGTTTCGAGGACGCATGATGGAGGTCGACTTGACAGGACAATGGGTGGATGAGGAGTAGAAGGGGAAAGAGCGAGGGGAAGAGGATTGTGACAGTGAGGAAGTTGACAAAGAAGAGGAGGATGAGGGAGAATGTTGGTGGCGGGGCCTGGGGTGAGAAGAAGCAGAGGAAGAAGAAATAAGAGGGGGGGAGCTGGAGGTGAAGTGAGAGAGAGACGGGAGGGCAAGTGAGAGAGCGGAGTGAAGGACAACTTCGCCCTCCGAGAGGAACCCCGGCGAGGAAGGAACATCCGAGACGCTTTCAAACTCCATCTCCGTCACCTTTCAGCGTCGTATAGCTGGCGTCTCAAGATGATGGGAGCCAGTGGGCTGCTGGAGATAGAGTCAGGGTCAGGGACAATTGAGAACTCGACTGAATCTGCGTGAAGACACCGTCCTAGAGATATGGGATGGTAGAGGGCTCGTAGAGCCAGAGTCAATGGCGGGCTAGCTGGTTTTTTATAAGCTTTTACTCAGGAGATGTGTCTCAGCCCCGGAGTTCTCCTGCTCGTAAAAGCCCACTGGCCGAACTGTGAATGGAAGATTCCTTGATAACCGGGCGAAAAGGTGGCAATCAACGGCGAAGGAAAACTAGGCAGCGTACCCGGTTAATGTCTGCAGGGCTCTCAGTGATAAGGTCCGATGAGAATCCCTGGGCTTTTGTTTGGTGGTCTGCCACCTTTCCTGAGTGATGCCGGATTGGCTTTGCAGGCTGAGACTGGTGGCGTAAATCAACACCAAAGTACCAGCGCTGTTGTCTACTCTACGAATGCTCTGGGTACTAGCACCCCATGGCTAACTTCAGCTTTAAATTTAATGAGATCGACTGGGCCAGAGACCCTTTCAAATATATACCAAATCTGGTCCCAACTGATATACACGCTCCTTACTATTCCCCGTGTTTCTGGTATCATGGCTGCGTCTCTGAAAATGACATGGGGTCTTTGCTTGCGGACAACGATGTGCTGGGAAACAGAAAATCCTTCGAAAACTCCAGATCCATGTCCAGGTCGATCTGGTGAAGTTGGTTCTCGTCCAGGCTGCCACGAGCCCGGTCTTTGGTGGATGCACCACCTTCACTGCGCTGCGATGCAGTGCTTCGTTGAGAACACGGCTGGCTGTTTTGGTCAGCATCTTCGAGAGGCGTTCGTTGCGGCCGGGGGGTTGAATCCCGGGATCTTTTGTCGGTCATCTTCGAATCCGCCCCTGGAAATGCTTTCTCCCTCGATCTTTTCGGACTACGGCTACTAGGGGGAGACAAATTGGTCCCAAAAGAATCTCTCACTTGCTCCTCGGGCTGGGTCTGGAATTCGTCCTCCGCTGACTGCGTCTGTTGCATTGTGGCGGTTTGACAGGGCCTGGTCCTGGCATGTCTGTTCGGAGGTCTGGACGAGTCGGGCTCGGCTCGGAACCCCATGACATTCATGAGTCGTCCAATATGTTGCTGGGCTTCGGAGAACTCGCGGGCTTTGGCTGCTCGTTCATTCCGTAATTGTTGCACCTAACATGCCAATAAGCAGATGTCCAAACGTAAATCGATGAAAGAGTAGCGCCTCCACCGGTCGGGATTCGTCTTACCTTCTTTTCCAAGTGGTGTATCCGCGCCTCCTTCGTTTGCAGTTCCTTGGCGGTGTCGGATGCGGCTGTCTGCATCGCCATCTGTAGCGAGGAAATTTCTTCCGTTTGGTTTGCGTACTACAGGTGCGCATTAGAGAACAAGCCTTGCATACATGATCCATACATTGACCCTACCTTTGCTGTTGCTGCTGAAAGCCGTGCCTCATAATCCTCAATGGATTGGCGTTCTTGCTGAAGGTCTTTCTCGGCTTTTTCAAGTGCAGACGCCAGCCCGTTAGATTTTAACGCCTCCTCATCAAGCTGCATCATCTTGCTTAGCACTTGTCAGTCTTTCTGGGGTCTATTGTGATCCTTACCTTTGTTCGTAAGGCTTCTACTTCTCTCTCCTTGTCGTCCTTGTCAGATAATATCTTCTGCATGTCTTCATCCTTCCGCGCTAGAAGCATCTGGCAACGTTCCAGCTTCTCTTCAAGCCCCACGACATCCTGGTTGAGGGAAGCAGTCTGTTCGAGTAAGGACGACTTTTCTTTTGAGATTTTATCCAGTGCATTCCGAATGGCCATATTCTCAGTTTTCTGGTCCGTGATTTCTTCTTGCAATGCCTCCAGCTGATCATCCCTTTTGGTTATAGATGCAACCAAGTCCAACTCCCTACTTCGGGCCTTTTCCCTCTCGTTCACCACGGTATCCTGGGACTCGCGCTTCTGGTTCTCTAGATCTCTCCGAGCTGCGTCAAGGGTTGCCGACAGTTCTTCTGCGCGGATGGATGCAGCTTCTGCATGAGTTTCCAATCGGGAAATTTCTAGCCGAAGCCCGGCGATTGTATCGGATGCTTGCTGTAATTGTGACTCCAGTGTGCTATTCTGCTCCTTTGCCTGCTGCGCTTCGAGTATAGCTGCGTTACGCTCTTGCTCGACTGCTCTTAGCGGGGCTTCGATGCTATCGCACCGTTGCTCGAGATCGTAGCAAACCTCTCCTATCTTATGTAGAAGATTATCATTAGACCTGCGTGCATTGAGCATAAGAGTTTCTGTAATGGCACTTCTCCAGTCAGGCCTAGAACCAAGCCCGGGAGATCCCTCGCGGACATCAAGAGGCGGTAACGTCTTGGTAGGTCGAGCTGGCTCGATCTCCGCAAACGGACACTTTGGCACGAGTAGTAACTGCTTATATCGTGCCATAAACATCTGCACGGTACTAATCTCAGTCGACGAGTTCTGTGTCATGTCTCGCAATAGCGAGGCGTGGACATAGAAGGAGGAGAAGTCGTAGATCAGCTCGTTCTCCATTTGCGAACGCAAAGCTGTGCAGGTGTGGGAGCTGTTACATGGTGAAGACGAAGGTTGCCTCGGGAAGTTTTCCATAACTTGCCAAATGACTTGCTTGCATTGGTCGAGAGGCTCGGCAAGAATAGGAGGACAAGATTCCAGGGCTGTGCAATGCAGCCCTTCAACCAAGGACTTGGCTACCTGGACATGCGATAGGCTTGGAGAGCTCATCGAAAGTTCCTTGTTCAGGGTAGAAATGATGTATTCCAACAGGCTACAGATCGCAGGCTGCCCTAGACAAGACTTGAGAGGGTTAGAAGAGCTCCAGATGGCGCCGCTTGATGTACTCACCACACTTGCCCCTACAAGGCGCGGTACGTAATTTAATGGCAGCACTTGCAGTACAAACCTGCTGTCCTCGGATAAAAGCCCCTCTAAGGCAACTTGCGCTATCTCAGGCGATAATGCAGTATTTGGAAGAAGTGATGCCAAGAATGTCGCGCCCTGAAATCCAGATTAATGTGAGCCTTTGTTTTTGCCCCCTTTGGACTGTCACATACTAGCAATTGCACACTACGGTCAATGCCGCTCCTCGTCACCTTTTCTCGTAGTTTTGCAATTTTAGAAGAGTTTGCCGTGATCCAGCATTCTCTCTGTCCTTGCTCAACCCTATCGCAAATTTCGATGGCCAAACAAATGCTCTCTGCTGCCTGATCTACCGTCAAGTCACTGCAGCTATCGGAGCAAGCGAGGATAACGCGTAGAAAAACGAGATCCAAGGTCTTCAGGCCCCGCTTGGGTCCGAAGAAATGGTTGACACTTTGCAACCATGACGGAACGAACCGCACGCACCCCTTTCCAGCATCGAGATCTTGCAAGGACGCCATGCGTGCAAAGGTGGCTAGGCAAAGAAGATTGCCCATGTGATCACTCAGGTTGCGCAGCGTTTTTGTAAGCTCAACTTGAAGGCTAGACATTGTTTCAGATGGGATCTCGAGCAATATTCCCGGAGAGTTTCTGATACCATTGGCGATCTGGTTCAGAGGTGTAATGGTTTCTGCGCACGGGTTATCTCCCATTGTATGCACTAACTTCTCCATCAACGACGCCAGACGAGCAGGAATTATGAAGTCAGGTGGTAGAGGAGAAGACAAGATCGCAGTGCATGTTGAAGGATACTATGACAGTCAGTTCATAAATTTCTCAGCGCGACTTGTCAATAAATTGCATGTGAATTGAAATATTCGCCTAAAGAATTTGCATGAGCACGAACCTCGGACTGATCATCTTCAATAGCACTCTGGAGGAATTGGTCGAGAAGGCACGGATATCGTTCCAGCAAGGCATCCCGAACAGCCGGTATCAAGACTGTCAGGCATTAGGTAAGTCCATGCAGCTAGGTACATGCGACATACTCACCAAATGTTCTAAGTAGAGGCAGAGCGAAACGAGAACGCGATAGACCGTCGACGAGTACATCAACTAGAGCACTAATCTGACAGGGCCTTTGAAAGGCCCATAGCCGAACTGAGTCTAATGTTGTGGTCTGGATCAATCCTTGGAGGTCCTAGAGCGGCAATATGGATTAGCTACTAACGCATGGGCTCGAGGTGATAGCGTGAGTAGCGGAGTTTACCTGGAGGGAGGGCGCATATGGGGCAGTAACGAGGCGCTCCACTTCGCGGCCCAGGCGAACACTCTGCTGATCTGCCATGTCTGCGAATTCGGACCCGTCTACCTATGGGGTTCCCATGGACTAGACTAGTAAGGGCCAGTGACAGGAGTGTGGTGCCGTTCTCCACGAGGTTATCATTGATTGTCTTCTGCGGGCGGGAAAGATTTGATGTTATGTAGCCGGTTGCCCCCTCAACGACTTGGCGCGGGGCCACATGGTACCCAGGACGTGATCGGGAGTGGGGGGGCATTGACATGATGCAAGAAGTAGCGGCGATGGTTTGATCTGAGGGCTCGATTCACTTTCTTCTGTCTATTTACAAACTACATCGTGCGGGCTTGTCTTAATCATCCCGGGTGCCCTGGCTTCTTGGGTCAATAAGCCAGGAAACCGTGCCTGTTCCTGCCAAGTCATGTTCCTGAGGCAGCGTCGGGGTTCTGGCCGATCGGCCGATAAGCAAGATTGCCGAAACCGTGGGGATCAAATCACCTCCGACCATTCCTCTCACCCTGCATCAGCGTGGGGGCTAACCCGGTTCTGCGTACCCCCAATTCTGACCGAAGGCACTCAGTCCATCCGTCAGCAGAAGCAGAATGGTCTACTGTACTCCGTACTCGGCCCAATTCCGATTGCTACTCTGCGTCTCATCCTTAGCTCCGATGGCGTTTCTCCTTGCGCCTAGCAAGTCCCCATAAAATGAGCCATGACAGGACGGTCGGAGTTCCCGGTCCGGGCTTGGTTATTTCTTTCACAAGAGGCCTGCAGCTTTAGTATATATTGGCTGTGCCCTTCCTCAATCCAGCTTTTGGGCTCCTATCTCTTACTCTATCAGTCAAAGCCGTTGAAGCATGCGGTCGCTCATCTCGGTACCTCGGGGCTTCCCCGCATCTCCCCGCGTTCTCCATTGCCGTCCCAGTGCCATCGCACAACGACAGTTCTTCCCTCTCCGACGAGCGGTGCGTTGGGATAGCTCCAAAGCAGAAAGCAAAAATAGTGGCAATGAAGGGCATAAAAATAATGCCAATACTGAGTCCTCTGGCAACTCATCGGGCTCTTGGACTACAGGCGGGACCCTAGTGGCGTCCGCTTTAGCGGCGGGCATCGGCTATGCATATGCTGTGACGAGCCGACCATCTAAGCCGCAGAATCTCAAGCAACCCCAGTATGGATCTGCAAAAGAGTTCGAGAAGGTATGAAGTCATTTACCTATTCTCTGTCCTCCGAAGATGTATTGGTTGCATCTTACTGAACGGTGCATCGAATGAATAGGCCATTGCAGAATTGCGTGCCGCACTAGGCGAAGAGACTATTAGCACCGACGAGGACGACCTTCAGCAACATGGGTTCTCGGAATGGTCCAGTGTCAATGCTGATCGTCTGCCAGTCGCCATTGCATACCCTACGAACACAGACGACGTCGCCCAGATTGCGAACATTTGTCACAAATACAAGATGCCAATGGTACCCTATTCCGGTGGTTCCAGCCTCGAAGCCAACTTTTCAGCCCCTCACGGTGGATTGACCATTGACTTCGCGATGATGAATAAGGTATTAGAGTTGCATGAATCTGATATGGATGTTGTGGTCCAACCGTCCATCCAATGGATGGATCTGAACGAGAAGATTAAGGACAGCGGTCTCTTCTTTCCCGTCGATCCTGGGCCATCAGCGATGATAGGCGGCATGATAGGCACAAACTGTAGTGGTACAAACGCTGTGAGATATGGAACTATGAAGGATTGGGTTATCAACCTCACTGTTGTGCTCGCAGACGGTCGTGTCATCAAGACACGCAGACGTCCACGCAAGACTTCGGCGGGATACAACTTGACAGGCTTGTTCGTGGGCTCGGAGGGAACGCTTGGTCTTGTGACTGAAGCTACCCTCAAGTTGACCCCAATTCCAGAACAGACCCGTGTCGGCGTGGTTACCTTTCCCACTATACGGGACGCTGCTTCAACTGCCATGCAACTGGTCCGAAAAGGAATTCAGGTACAGTGCATGGAGATTTTAGATGAAATTCAGATGGATGTTATCAACCGTGCAGGTGGAACTGGACGAACCTGGAAGACATTGCCCACTCTGTTCTTTAAATTTTCCGGTACCAAGGCTGGGGTCGCTGATAGCATCAACCTGACCAAAACGCTAGCCAAGGGTAACAATGCGAGCTCTTTTGAATTCGCACGAGACGAGCGAGAAGCACACGATCTTTGGTCTGCACGAAAGCAATCGCTATGGAGTATGTTATCACTAAGGGAGCGAGGTGCTGAAGTCTGGTCAACCGACGTCGCGGTACCGATCTCTAGACTACCGGACATTATCGGTGCGTTTTCTGCTCGACCCGTCTAGACATATGCTGACCGCACTAGAAATTTCAAAGAAGGAACTTGATGGTCTTGGAATCTTTGCGAGTATTCTTGGACACATTGGCGACGGGAATTTCCATGCAAGTATTCTGTACGATCGCACGGACCCAGAAGAAAGAGATCGCGTCGAAAAGGTTGTCTACGATATGGTCGATCGTGCCCTGGAAATGGAAGGCTCCTGCACCGTAAGACATCTGCATCCGGAACTAATGCCTGGAAACATGACTGACTGAGATGATTATAGGGTGAACATGGTGTGGGGCTTGGTAAGAAAAGCTCCTTAAAGAAGGAGCTCGGCCCAGCCACGATTGACATTATGCGTTCTATCAAGAAGTCTCTTGACCCTCACTGGCTGTTGAATCCCGGCAAGATCTTCGATTATGAAACCGAAGCATGAACAGTACTCCGTACGGTCAACTCTGCTAGCTGAAAATGCCATAGCTATGATAACTTGAACGGACAAAAGGAATTGCACATCAAATTAGCCTTGTGTCAACGAGTAAAGATATCTCATCAATTCCCCTCAAATAGCTGTATATGATCAAACAGCCAATGATGGCCGCGGAGGAAACAAGGTTGGGTCGTTAGTCATGAAGGCTGACTCACAGCGGGGCTGATGTGCTCCGGAGCGATATCGCAGTTTTAGTTCGGACCGCCACTCTTGTCCCTCTTCACCTTCCGCATCATTGTCACAGAGGTGAGTGCAATTCTTCCTTTTTTGGATATGTTTTGAATCAGAATCATGCCTATTGCAATATCACTGTATTGTTTGTCATGCCGCGTGTATCCACATGACCGACCATGGAGATAAAGATGTGTTCCCACCCCTTGCGGGGCTTCTACTCTTTAACTCGCTGAACAGAAGTGTTGGCGATGTCTCTTAGTCGTTGTGTTTCAATCAGGAACCCTCGGTTTCCCTGCTTCTCTCAATGTTATTCCCTTAGCTTTCGAGTGTATAATTGGGGAGGGGGTGCAAATCAATTAACAAACGCCAGACCGCACGAATCGCATACCGACCGACGAAATGGCTTCATATCCTAAGAAGAAGTGCGGTGCGGACATACATTCACAACACCAGTATTCTGCTGGAATCAGGGCTTCATGCTAATGGCAATCAGGTGTTCTGGGCGCTACCGGCTCCGTGGGCCAGCGGTTCATCCTTTTGCTCGCGGACCACCCCTTCCTGGAGCTACACGCCGTAGGTGCGTCGGAACGTTCTGCGGGAAAGTGCTACAAGGATGCCGTGAGATGGAAGCAAACTACCGCTATGTCCGAGAGACTTAGCAACCTTGTTCTCCGTGACTGCAAGGCTGAGAAGTTTGCTGACTGCGACCTCGTCTTCTCTGGACTCAACAGCGATATCGCTGGTGATGTTGGTATGTGGTTCTCTTTCTGGTTGACAAAATCGCCTACTAATCAAGAATCTCTCAGAGATGGAATTCATCAAGGCCGAAATTCCGGTCTTCTCGAATGCGAAGAACTACCGCAAGCACCCGCTTGTGCCCCTCGTCGTCCCCACCGTCAACCCCCAGCATCTGGACCTCATCCCCCACCAGAGGAAACACTTCGGCCTGAAGAAGGGATTCTTGGTTTGCAACTCGAACTGCGCTGTCATTGGCATTGTTATTCCGTTCGCAGCCCTGCAGGCCAAGTTTGGCCCTGTTGAGGAGGTGGAGGTCTTCACCGAGCAGGCCCTATCCGGAGCTGGTTACCCCGGTGTCCCCAGCATGGATATCCTGGACAACGTTATCCCTTTCATCAGCGGTGAAGAAGACAAGCTGGAAAACGAAGCCCAGAAGATTCTTGGCTCTCTGAACGCCGATGCTACCGCCTTCGAGGAGCAGGCGGGTCTTAGAGTCGGCGCCACCTGCACTCGCGTCGGCGTTACTGATGGTCACATGGCCTTCGTCTCTCTGCGCTTCAAGAACCGCCCCGCACCCAGCGCTGAGCAGGTTGCGCAGGCCATGAGAGATTACCAGTCGGAAGCTCAGAAGCTGGGCGCCCCCTCTGCACCCCCGCAGGCTATTCGCGTGTTCGACGAGCCCGACAGACCCCAGCCCAGACTTGACCGGGACATCTCCAAGGGATACACCGTCAGTGTTGGACGAGTGCGCGAAGGTCAGGAAGGTGGCTACTTCGACATCCGATTTGCTGCGCTCTCGCACAACACCGTCATTGGTGCTGCTGGATCGTCCATCCTCAACGCGGAAGTTGCTGTCATCAAGGGCTACATCTAGATGTTTTACGACCTGTAGCATATAGCGTTTAGACGGCGTCAGATATCCTTTTGTTTCTACCTAGGTAGTTAGACTACGAAAAGCATCAAATTAACCCTAGAACCAATCTGCATTACATAATAAGCACGGACCCATCACACTAGTGCCGATTCGGCATAATGGCATGGAGGGCTGATCCGGCCTAGTGCTAGGGCTTAGCCCGACCCAGCACCAGCCGCTAAGCGAAAATTGCGGGTGGTCTGGATATCAGTCGCTGAAGTCCCTGTTCCGACTCCTTCTCTCTCGCGACACTTCGACAACTAACCGGTTCAAGTCGACAAAGCAGCCAAGATGCCTCGCGGACCGTGAGTTTCACGCCCTATGACCTTTTCACCGGATATAGCCGGGTCGCCGTCGAAAACATTTTCACAGGCAAACCTGGGCTACGGCCGGCAATTGAAGATTTGATGAACAGAAAACTAACCGGCATGCTCGTACAGTAAGAAGCACCAGAAGCGCCTTAGCGCGCCTTCGCACTGGCTCCTGGACAAGATGTCCGGAACCTATGCTCCCAAGGCCTCCCCCGGTCCTCACAAGCTCCGTGACTGCCTGCCCCTGATCGTCTTCATCCGCAACCGGTACGAACCCTCGATTGAACCCGGCCAAGAACCGACCGACAGATAAAGGAATTGGTGGACTGACAAGGTTATAGTCTCAAGTATGCCCTGAACGGCCGTGAGACCAAGGCGATCCTTATGCAGCGTCTCATCAAGGTCGACGGCAAGGTCCGCACCGACCCTACCTACCCCGCTGGTTTCATGGACGTCATCGGCGTTGAGAAGACCGGCGAGAACTTCCGTCTCATCTACGACACCAAGGGTCGCTTCACCGTCCACCGCATCCAGGCTGAGGAGGCCGAGTACAAGCTCTGCAAGGTCAAGCGCGTTCAGCTCGGCAAGGGCGGGATCCCATTCTTGGTTACGCACGATGCGAGAACGTGAGTTTATACTCTCTGCAAGTTCCGCGTCATTCAGTCGTTGGACCAAGCTTTGGTTGATCGGCGGAGGACGACAGAACTAGAACCGCAGTTCTTTGCTGGACCGCAGTAAGGAACCGCAATTGAAGAACATTCCGTGCTAACGAGAGGTTTTACAGCATCCGCTACCCTGACCCCGCCATCAAGGTCAACGACACCGTGAAGGTCGAGGTTGCCACTGGCAAGATCGCCGACTTCGTCAAGTTCGACACTGGTGTTGTCGCCATGGTCACCGGTGGACGTAACATGGGTCGTGTCGGTGTCGTCACCCACCGTGAGCGCCACGATGGTGGTTTCAACATCGTCCACATCAAGGACGCCATTGACAACACCTTCGCCACCCGTGAGTCCAACGTCTTCGTCATCGGTCAGGACAAGCCCTGGATCTCCCTGCCCAAGGGCAAGGGTGTCAAGCTCTCCATCGCTGAGGAGCGTGACCGCCGCCGTGCCCTCGCCCAGAACTAGATGTGGCATGGTAAGTGATGTAGGCTGCCTGAAAACAAAAGCGTTGAAAAATCCGCTGGGGCGACGGCATCTTGTCTTACTTTGTGGACCTGTATGACGCCGGTTACGATAATATTTGAAGCGTTATTCAGAACAAAAAAAAGAGAAAGAATTGTCTACAGGATGCTTTGGGGGCTCGTTGGGGTCACTGCACTGTTCCGTAGGTCTGTACAATGTACATTAAGGCAAGGTCAAGATGCCAAGTCTGGCTACCTTTTCTATCTTATGATACCATTATTTTTGAGTACTCCGTACCCCGTATATTCCGTGCATTCGTATCTGGTCCGGACATGACCAGACGTACGTTGTCCCGCTCTTTCCCTTGGCGCAACCGAGCAACCTCCATCCCATCCCGTCATTGTTCCCCAGATCCTGACCCAGCTGGTGTCCCGGACCCATTCACGGAGCCATTTCCGTGGGAGGTTGGAATCCAGCCCAGCAGGTCTAGTCCACGTAAGACCCACGCCGATGTCACTCGGTCTTCAACTCGAACAGCGCCTAGCCAGTTCGAGTCCGTCGTGTCGTGACCTCTGGCAGGGATGCTACGACGCTGGGGGGAATGGAAGGTACCCTGGATGCAGTCGATAGCCACCACAAAGTACGTCTCACATCCAAGCCGGGAGCCAACCGGTCGAAAAGGGAAGATGCACTTTGTGATGTGGTGTGGCCAGTGGTCGGAGCAGTTGGCCGAAGAGCACCGGGGCAGTTCGACCCATCACCGGACGATGACCCGGCGATTCATTCGGTTGATTCGTTCCCCAGCCATCTGGTCTTTCACTTGCCGCACCTCTCTCCTTCTCAGCCCGTCTACAAGGCTACAAGTAAGAATGTAACACGTCAACTGGGCTGCTGCAGGTGAATATGGATCTACTCCTTCCACCACCTCCTCCTTTTCACCTAGTCAAGAGGGGTTAGTGAGGAGCTGACCCAAGAAGTGAGTAAGTATGGGTGAGGGGAGAAAGACGGGCTGGAGGTCCTGGTCCTGGTCTCGGTGCTGATGTTGGTGCAGAGTGCAGGTGCAGCTCCAGAGCCTGTCGTACTCTGTACTGGAAGATGATAAGGAGATCATCTGGATACTTGATCCTGCTGGCTTCCCTTTGGACCGATCCTCGGCATCAGAGGAGCGCCAAACGAAACAGGTGCTGACCATGCAGGCTTAGCCACGACTATCTATCAAGTCGCATGGTTTTGGCGCGTCGAGTCAACTGACAAGTCACTTTCGGCCGGGCGATCTCTCTTGATTCCTGGCGGTCGAGTTGTGATTGATAACCGATGCAATAGAATCAGTGTCCGGATTCGACCATCGCCGTGGTCGGACGCCCCCCGAGCCAGCCTTCTTGCACTCGGGATAGATCGGTTAAAGTCAGAACATGATCGGAGTTAATGTGATTGCGATCCATCACTTGCGGGAGCACCTGGTCTGGGTCTATTTGATTTTTTTCCCCCGCCTCTCCTCCCTCGGCCCTTTTGGGGCTTGCCCACCTCTTCCTTTTTGGATGGAGGTACCTTAGGGTCTTGGATGCCTCTTTGTCAGGTCAGGCAGGATACCGGCATGAATGGTCCGAATGATCGAGGTGGAACGATCATCGAGGGAAGGGTGGGATCGCACTCTGTATCACGGTGTCTCGATGCTCCATGGGTATTCACATATCCTTTCCCGGTTCTGAGGGCCCCAGACCGCACCGAGCAAGTTGCGCGGCAGTAGCTCTCTCCGTTTGGTAGATGAGTACGAAGGTTATATACCTAGTACCAGCCTGTGAGCGAGGACTTCGCAATGTTTGCTTCAAGCCACCGTGACATAGCCCGCTCTTGGTCTCGTCTCTACACACACGCACTCGTCCACGCACACCATACATACTTCCTTAGACTGCGAGTCAGGCTTCATGCATGCTGCATGTCAGGAGCCAATCCGGATACAGCAGGCTACATCTAGCGGGTGGATAGGTCGCTGATGTGGCTGAATGCCACCCACTAGAGGCGCTGTCTTTGTCCAGAAGGAGACGGCCTCCGGCTTATGTGTATACGTCTTACGGGATCTCCATCGATAGGCTCTGGGTGGTGGCAGGAGCCCCCACGCTTCTGCACGGGAGACGGATGATGAAAGATATTGTCTTCGCAACGTCACCGCATGCGGGAGGATAGGCATGTATGTAAGGTGATGGGCGTATGCTGGACGACAGGACGCCGAGGCTGTGACTAGGATTTGCCAGGGCCTCGACAACCGTTGCGCTATTGCAGCCGGGCTCCTCTCGCCTACATACAGGCAGTCAGCCACCCATCGATAGCCGTAGCTTGCCATGGCTGTGGCCATCCATCCGCCCGCTCACTCATTCGTCTTTCTCCCGCGGAAGTCTGGACTGAACAAAGACCAGGCGTTGAGATTCCAGGGTTCTCTGTGCAGGCGACAGCTCAGCAGCACAGCAACTCAGCCATGGCTCTGCAGGGAGGTAATCCCGCATGCTCGTCGTAGAATCCAGCCAGGAAGGAAGGCCGTGAAAAAAGTGGCGAGGTGTGACACAGACAGGCGAGCTTCAATTAGTAACGACAATTTCTTACAACCGAGCTGGGAGGGATGCCCGTGGCTCGGAAGCCTCTCCAGAGAACGAGCGGGTCTGGACGACGGGGCCCGTCACGGCGTACCCTTGCCGGAGTACTCCGTTCCTAGGACGAGTCCCAATCATCTCCTGGATTCGTTCAGTTCTCGAGGGACTCGAGGTTCTCTAAATGGTCGCTTCGGGGGTTGTCTGGCACAACGTGGAGGGAAGCAGTGCAGAGGCGCTGCCGTGGCTCTGCAACCCCAAGTTACAGGTTGCAGCCGAATGATTCTGATGGCTGAACCTAAGGTTTACTCTTGTCCCTTTCTGACCATCGGGGCCTCCCATCCCCGTACGGAGTCGATAGATAGAAAGCGGCCAGGGTGTCCGGGCGGGCCCCCGACTCAATCCTTTTGTTCCTCTGCGCCACAGCCTCTGGTCTCTAGGTTGGGGTGGAGAGGGCTCGATCCTCGCATTCCGCCATCCGACCCAATGGTGGGATTAGCCTGTCTGGCTATCTCGGACTAGGCGAAGAGCGAATGTTCCTCAGGGTTAGGGGCAGACCGAAGGAACGGGAAACGCGAGATGGACAGACAGATGGAGAACAGATGGCTGGGATTGATAGGATGAAGGGGATCCTACGATGCCTTGGGCTGGTGGAGCACAGCATGGCTTTTGCCGGCCACCCACAGCCACGAGCTGATTCTCGTCCATTGAGAATTTCCCCCCCCTCTTTCTTATTTTTACCCCGTGATTTTTTATTTCTTTCGTTCTGGCGGGTAGGTTTCAATGCTCATGGCTGCCTGTCTCCGTCTGTGAGACATGCAACGACTCCGGGGTCGAGGTGACACTGAAAAACGTCCGAGGAGCTCCTCAGCTCAGGGCCGGCAGTCGTCATCGCACCGCCGGGCCTCCAATCCCCATCCGGGGGCGATCCGAGATGGAAGGCCATCGAAAAAAGGAAGACCAATGGCAATGGGTCGGAGACGTCTAATCAGCCCATCTGGGCTTGGGGCCCTGGAAGGAGTCTCCATCCCGATCGCCATCGCCCGATCACCGGCGATACACTTTCTGACTGCTTGGTTGTTGCGTTGCGCTCGCTGAAGCCAGGATGAGGACAACTCAGTTAGTCGCGCAGTAGCAGACTCACTAGCTATCTATCTACCCGATCTCTATCGCATTCTGTGTGTGACCGGGGAGGGGGTGTCTCTCCCTCCATGTCTCCATCTCGATGGATGGCTGGTGGAGTCTCCCGCGAGGAACGGCGGCTTGGAGGATCCACGCTGGATGCTTCGGCATCATCATGACTATCTCTCTACCAGTCGATGGCTCACCAGCCGTTCCTGGCGCTTGACCAAGCAGCCTCTTGCAGGCATTGTCGGCTCGACTGCCTGCTCAGTCCTTACTATAGAAGAGGCTGATGTATAATTGACTTCATTAATGTACACACCACACCGCTTCAGGGCGAGCATCACCAGCGCGATTGATCGCGTTCTCAGTGTGTGTGTGTGTGTGTGTCTCGCCTCTTTTTTTGATGAGATGGGGCCGAGGTGAACCTTCCAGAACCAAGTGGTCCTGCATGGCCGGGTCGTCTTGAGCTGTTGTGCACGTCCTGGACTCTCTGCTTCCATCCTGGTGCTTTGCTTGACCGCTTCTCTCTCTTGCCCTCGCCCATTGCCGGTTTGGGTCATTTCCAACTTTTTATTTTTTTGCTTTTCGTTTCCACCTTTTTTCTTTTCTTTTTCGTATGATATTTCCCTTTCTTGATTTCAGGGTTAGTGTCATTATCGATTTTATTATTTCCCTTTTATCTCCCTTTCTTTTTTAACCCCGAATATGCCACCGCTCCACTGGCCCGCCGTTGGCTGGCGCCCATCACTGGGATTGTTGCTATTATCGGCCCTACTATTGCCAAACGGTCCGATTATTTATGGGGACAACGATTATTGATGCCGGATCCTGATTATTCACAGCCCATGTGGGGAGGCCTTCCCAAGGCCTAACGGTCTTCCAGGGGCCGAAGAATGCGCTCCCTGGCCGCCGGGCGAGGATTAAATGATGCGGCGAGCAACTGGACTGATTGGAGTGGCCCACCACCAGGCCCTAACCATGATTTCAGCTCCTGTCTCGAAGGTAATCTCCGTCCCTTGGCCTAACCTGGCTCCCGGGTCCCAGTGGTTCGGATCAGGATCTGCCCTCGTCTCCTACCTTTTTTTTTCTGTTCTGTAATGCGCCACTGGCCGTCATGCCTTTTTGGCCGCTCAGATGCACCCGGAACCAGCAGCAGCAGCGGTGCGGGCATCGACGGGAGTCTCCCCTCATCTTTTCCTCGTGAGTTGTCAAACGTGGCAAAGTTGAAGGGGAATTGGCCTGCGCCAGCTGGGAAGATAAGGTCGATCGTGTCCAGCTTCTTCGTTACTCTTGGGTGGTTCAATGCAATGCAGGGTGCAATACAATAGAGCTAGTTGCTTTGGTTCATTCGTGGTCTATTCCTGGTCATCCAACCCTTCTTCTTCCTGCATCGACGGTTACTTCCTGGGTATACGTCGGTTGCGTTGAGCTCGAGCCCTCTGCATTCCCGTTCCGTGAGGTTAGTCCCGGCTGTTTCATCTGACGTTGTTGTCCCCTACCCTATATGCCTGGTCTTGGAGGTTCTAGAATCGTACGAGTGAACGGCCTGGCACCGGGGGGGGGGGGGGGGGGGGGGGGGCTTGCTTCCGATCCCACCTTGGTACTACGCCTGCAGGGATAAAAGGACCCTCGAGAACAAGGTAGCCAGTCCGCCGTTCCGCTGATGGGACCGTTTTCATCACCATGTTGTTCGTTGCTGAAGTGTAGTCTCCGTTAGTGCCCAGAGACAGCCTCGCCTTTCTCTTCTCTTTGCTCGCAGAAGGGTTCTTGAGCCGTTCTGATATCGCAGGCATGTCTGCGTACTCGCCGTCGGCCAGCCTGCCGTTCATGCCCATGCCTGGGCAGCCAGGGCCGGCCTACCCGCTGCTGTTTCGATCGGAGACCGAGATTCCTCCCTTCTTCGTGCAATATCGATGGTGGGAAGATGAGGCCGCCACGGTGTTCTGGGCTTTTGACCCCCTGGAAATCCAGCGAGTGATCCGGTTTGGGCTCTACTCGAACGCGAGCCTGCCCCGGTCGATCCTCCAGAATCGCGATCCCCATACCATTCGGGAGATCCTGGTCTCACTTGTGAGCCCGGATGAACTGGCCTTTGTGGACAGCCTGTCGCCTCTGCAGAAGGTGGAGGAGATTCTCCGCCGGTGTCGGGACAACCGGGCTCCTCTGGTCCCCTGGAGCTGGGTCCCAACCCAACGGGATCGGGACATGAACCCTCTCCGCATCGCCGAAGCCATCGATGCGGAGAGCCAGGTTCAGTTCACCCGCATCTCGTTTGAGAGGCTGGTCCGCTACTCCCTGACCCTCAAGGAGCCCGCGGTCGAATGGTTTCTACAACAGCATACGGCGCTCTATATCCACCTCATTCACTTTCTGCAGATGTTCCCGGAGGAGCTGCCCCGGTACCTGGAGGTCGAACAGGTACGTGAGCGGGCCCCATGCCTTGGAAGTTACTGACGCGCCCCTAGCATCTCCGGTCTCGCAGCCCATTTGCCCACCGGGCGGTGCACCAGTGCCTACGCGACCTCCGACAAGCCGTGCCGGGGCGGTCCTCGTCTCCGGCCTTTGAATTCGTGGCGGGACCCATCCAACAGTTATTCCTCTCGTTTCCGCCGAGCCTCAAAGATGCGTTGAAGGTGCTCTCCGTCCTGGGGGCGCGGTTTGAGCGCACCTACATCCACGCCCGGGAGATGAACTGGACCAAGCCATTTGCCGTGGACTTTTCCTTCCTGGAGGACTTGACGGCGTCGATGTCGGCGGACGACTTTGCCAAAACGATTACGACGGGCGACCAGAGCTGTTTCTCAGGACTGACCCAGAAAAGCTTTGTGGAACCGGATGCCGTTATCAAACGACTGCTGGTGACGTGGGAGCTGATGAGCATGGCGGTGTGGGAGTGCTGCACCGGGTTGCCCGAGCTGATCGAATACATTGAAGAGCTGGCCCAGGTAGGTTCCCTCGGGAAGCTGGCCACTGAGCCGAACTGACCGGACGCAGGCCCTGTACAATCGGCACGACTACCATGCCTTCGCGGCGATCCTTAGCGGCCTCTTCCGGTACAACACGTCGTTTCTGAAGATCCATGGCAACACGGCCATCCCGAGCCCGGTGCTCCCTCAACTCGCGGGCCTGATGGATCCGGCGGAGAACTTTGTGGCCTACCGACAGGAGTTCCAGCAGCGGCCGGGCATCCCCTTTCTCTTCCCCCATATCCGGGAGTACCAGCAGCACGGGCCGCCCGCCCTGCACCAGCTGTTCCAGCGATTGCAGACGAGCAATCTCGAGAGCAATCTCCACTAGACGTCGGGGCGGGTCGCGCAGGGAGACCACACGTGGCGGCGCCGTCTGAGCTTGGAGCATGGCCTTGACGAACGCTAGGCTCATGACGCGTAATCATTGGGTGCGCAAGAGTCTGTGGCAACGGTCTGGCGTCATTTGTTTGCCTTGATTTGTCCCCTTTTCGGGTCTGTGCTTTCTTTCTTTGGGCTGTATTCTATATTAAATTAGACCTGATGTCTGCCTGGTTCTACCTCTTCCTTTCACCCGAGCCTTGCGTGTAGATGGGATCGGATCGTGACGGCCGTCACACGTGAGACGGGTCTAGACCATTGCCAATAGTCGTGGTGCTAGTCGTTGACTCCATCCGATGTAGATAGGGGGCGGAAGGCCCGAATTAACTCCGAAGGATGAAAGTATGATGGGTTCATCTGTCGATCTCAATCCGCATGGTGTCATTATATGGGGCCGGGCCGGGGATGTCAATCACACCGACAGAGAGGCGATACCATTGCCTACAACGGGTAGTCGGTGGTGTACTGTACTCCGTAGTAGAACTGACATCACCTCCCTGTCAGAGCCTTACAAGCATCCCTGCATACTACATAGTACTACATAGTACTTTAGTATAGTAGTACTATACTATGTACTCCGTACTCCTAGGGAGTTCAGTCGTAAGTCATACCCTAACTTCCTCATACACAATAATGGTAGTCACTAGGACCCATCATCCTCCTGATTCAGATTCATACCCTCTTCTTCCCCTTCCCTTTTCCTTTTCCCTTGCCTTTTTTCTTCCCCTTGTCTTTCTCCTTCTCCTCAATCCCAAGACCATCCCCCTTCTTCTCCTTCCCCTCCATCTCATCCCCCCCCCTCACCACCCTCTCACCCCCAACCCCCCTATCACCACCACCAACAGCAACCCTCCCACCAGACACCCCCCCCAACCCACCCCCCAACACAAGCACCCTAAACACAAACAACCCCCCCGTAACACCCACATTCCCCCACGTCAAGGCATTCCAGCCCCCCCAATCCACAAACCTCTGCTTCCCCATCCCCCACCCCACAGCCAGTATATGCGTCACATCCGCCACCGCCAAACACCCCAAATAGTACTTTATAACGCGCGGCTCGGAAGTCGTATGCAGGAGACAGATGCCCAGGATGGCGAGCAGGAAGTAGATGTTGGAGAGTTGGTACGCGAGGGAGAGGGACGAGGGGGTTATTGTGGATGTTGGGTCGGGGTTGGTTGGGATTTGGGAGATTATGAAGGATGTTGGGGAGAGGTGGGGGTAGATGGTGCCGGAGAGGCTAGAATTGAATGGATGTTAGCTGGGAGGAGTTGGGGGGAGGGCATGGGGGACGTACAGGGAGATAGGTTCGAGGATGCCGAAGATTAGGTAGGGGATTGGGGGGAGGATGGAGCGGGGGAGGTGGAAGGGCATTTTGGTTGGTTTTCTTTGGCGTTTGGCGTTTGGCTTTGGTTTAGGGGGAATGAGGGTGGGTTGTTGTGGAAGAGATGAAGCGATGGTGATGGTGGTGATGGTGATGGTGAGGATGGAGCTGGGGAGAGCTGATTACTGGATTGGGTTAGTGGGTTGGGGTGCAAACAGTCGTTACTGTGTACAGTACTGTGTACATGATAGTAACGAAGCATAGGTCAGGTATCTATGCCTGTATTGACTACTATGTTGTATGGATACTTGTGTAGGTGCTTGTTTGCTGATGCTATTTCTTCAACCATAAGACATAAATAGACTACGTGTATACTCCGTATGAGACAGGCATATATATCTTTGCATATATCGAAAGGGATTACTCCGTAGTATAATTTTAGCATCGAAGTGAAAATGTCACTTCAAACTGAATCACTAACTAACTAACTAACTAGTAACGTAATCCACAAGTGAACCGGCCACATAAGCGGACTGGCCACCCACGCGTTTTATACACGTCTGCTTTTATAACTTATCTTTAAATTATTACCATACCTCCAAAAAAAGCTTCAAAAACACTTAAAATCGACTTATTCTAATTTCGTAGTCTGGTTGGAAGGCTCGAACTCTTTTTTTATGCTTACTATCTTTAACTAGAGTACTCTCCGCACCAGTAGAAGTCGCTTGAGGTTTGTGATTTGGCATGTCTTGGAGAATTTTTATTTAATGAATTGTGATAGGCTCCTCAGATTAAGAAAATAGATTATACTGTTTTTTAGCTATGAGATATTCGAGCTTGATTTCTTGAGTATCGAAAGTGCCAAGGGAGTCCTCAAAGTCGGTGTAGTCAAACTGATGTCTGGTTTTAGTAGTGTTTACTAACTGTTTTTCCAGTTCGTTGATATTAAGCGGCGGCGTGGAGGGTCCGAAGGTAAAGATTGGAGTGGTTGGTAGCCCACCGGGCTATGTAGCTGGGTTGGATAAGGCTTTTTTTACTAAGTTAGCTACGATTGGTTCCAGCTCTCCAACAATGAGAGTAGGTAAAGGTTTCTTTTCTAGCTCCCGGTCAACGGCTTGGGGGACCGGAGGGGACGCGTTAATGTCATGGTGAGTAGCGACCATCTTGGACAATTCACCGATTATTGGTAATGAGGCGGCTTGGAACAGATTGGTACGATGTCAAGTGAGAGCTCGAATGTCAATGACAATGAGAAAAGCCGAAATTCTGAGGAAATATGAGTCCTTTTATGTCCGCCGCAGGGATACATGGATATAGATTCCCCCTCTCTTACCATTCCTTTTCGACTAGCAGGGGAGCATACTAGCATACTATAGGATGACCTCTGGATCTGCGGATTATGGATTTGGATAACACCGTGCCGCGAGACGCGTGACGGAAGGCTCGAGCATATTGTGTTATGGGGTTTCTTCTAACTGGTTATCCTGAATTAGCTCAGTTCAGATGGATCGGTTATCCCGTATGCAACTTAGATCTCTTTCTTTTCCAATGAGCCCTGCAGATCACTCAGGATTATGTTGGGTACTATGCTTAACTCAATCTACTTGCACGTATCTTGACGCAGGTCTCAACCCATCACACTTCGCTATGCGTGGAAGCATACTATGGATTGCATGGGCGTGGCCTCGGCTCGGTCTGTGCGAAATGATCTGGAGGAAAAAGGAATATAGAGCTACATATTGCGGAAGCATAAGAAACTAACTTACTAATCGGTGTCCAAGGCTTGATGCGGCATGAATAGGATAGTTGGCAATACTTTCCTAACCAAGGATTTAAAACTGTAGTGCCTGCGTCCCTCGGTGATGATAGACAGCCTCTGAATCCCGGGTAACTTCGGCCGTTCAACGGAAACGGAAATATGAGACTCCGAGTATGCATCACATGATCTATAAACATCAAGGAGTCCCTCACTCTCTTATATTTTTACAGCTTACACACACTCAAATTACAACCTCAGCGGAAAACAATAACAAAAATAGGTCCACATACTCGTCCTTTTGTTCTTCTTCTTGTGGAGTCAGACGATGGGCGATGCCGCGCGCCCAAGTGATGATGTATATCAACGCGTCCTCCAAGAGAGCCTCGATACCTGGTCTTCTTATACGGCTGCTGTGAGCGATGACGCACCATTTTCTCGCGAGGCTCTAGACCTACAGAATCTTGCTTCCCAGGTTCCATCGTTTCTAGGCGATGGTCTTATCTCCCCAACCGAGACAATTCCGTTCAGCTGCGAAGAAAAGCCAGCAGCGCAAGGGAAAGGTAGTCTGCTTGTGAATGGCCGCTCAAAGTGGAGTACCTCAAGAGGAACCTGTGACCTACCACCAATAGTCTTGCCTAAGCAACTTCTCTTAGCTGTCCAAAGCCGATTAAGCGTCAGATTGTCAGAAGATGCACCGCTTGAGAAGTGGCCTTGTGTTAAGGGGTTGGAGGGTTACGACAATGGAAATTATCTGGCAGTTCTCTACTTGGCTTGGGCTTATATCCTGTCCGTTCGATGGGTTGAGATGCTGAGTCGCTCAGCAGACCATGAAAGTCGGATGTATTACGATGTGGAGATATCGGGCGCAGCACCACATCCGGACGAGCGGCCTGCCATTCAGATTGATCTTGGGGAGAAGGTCTCTGGTGAAGAAGCTCTCTGGTGGCGCAACATACTCTCTTCCGACACCTGCTGGGATGCGACCACCAAATATAATGGTCAAGTGTATTTGTCGCCGTGGTCAGTGTCGGTAAAAGACGTTAGAATAATCTCGTCAGCCATACTATCCGTCGTCAACGTGTCATCGCCGCCATCATCAGCTGTCGCCTTGGGATACCTCACGCGTTTTTGCGAGCGCTATGGGCTATACGCCCAATGTTCTACTGCGCTCACAGGAGTACTCTACATTCCTTTCCTAAAGGGCAAAACGATTTCCCTTCCCTTTCCAAGACAACTTTCCCGGGAACAGCTGAAGGCGCATTTCAGCCACCGGGTGTCTCTCCCTACCATTATTAATCTTCTTGAGACCCACAAAGAACTGCTCCCCAAGTACATGACCTTGAGTTCCAATCCTTGGGGACTCCGCTCTCTTCTGTGCAGTACCTTCTTCAATCCTGATATTGAGTGTAATCTCGCCAGCGCTTGGTTAAACCCGGCGTTTGCGGTGCTTGACTCAATCTCTTCAGCAAACCCGGCCTTGATAGCCGCTGTACTTTCCAAGCGACAGCCTCCACTTGGAGTACTTTGGCTCGGAGCAGTGTGCTCGGATGTGGCAAAACCTGTCCTGCGTGATATACGTGCGGGAATGGTCGCGCTAGATCTTCCATCTTCTGCATGGACTGGGATACCGCAGACGTTTCTAACTTCTCGAACACAACGGGTCAATGATGAATCCATACGTCGCGATGACGAATGCCGTCTGTTATTCATCACAGCCACCGAAGGCCACGACCGACCTCCGATATGGCCCTGGAAGCCCTTCGGCGTGACGCAACTATCAGACACGGATCTAACGGTTCAAGAGCATGCTCAATGTCCTTCTACACATTGCTTAGAATACCAATCTTGGGAATGGCTTTTGTCAGAAGACGGTGCAATTCAAGACTTTAGTAAAGGAAATGAAAGGCGAACATATGACATAACACCATTCTCTACCACCCAAAGGAACCCCAGCCCGCCCAGAGATATTAGTGACAATCTCCTCTCGCAATCTCTTTCTGAAATAGCCACGCGTGGCATTTTCCAATGGTTAAGGTCAACGGGATATCCTCGCAACGAAAAAGGGATATATCAACATTCTTGGGTTGATATGGAAGGCACTGATGACGAAGAGCCTGACGATGCGGAATCAGACGTTGGAAATGAGGTGGGCTTCAAGATCCAGAGAGTCGAAAATTGGTTGGATGGTATTGAGGGATGTTCTTGACTTCGGTTAGTTCGTGAGATCAATGTACTCAGTAAACCCATCTGGGCCACCGCCTGGGTGGTCAGGACATTTGGCGCAGATGGCATGTCCCCGAGTCGCCATGATCGCCGGTCTGACAGATTTTCCACCTCTTGCGGCATCCTCTTTCCTTGCATGTCCAACTATTGTGCTCGTTGTTCCAATGTCCGCACCTTCGATTCGCGCAAACACCGACTTGGCCGGAACTCGCTGTCATCCTGTTGAAATGAAGATATGGTATATAAGATAGTAGTGAGGCTCTGGTCCAGGTTTCATGTTAGTATCCTCAACCAGGCTTTGCTTTAATGCATTTGCACGTACCTTCTAGGGAGAAGCTATGTTACTACTCTCAACAAAGGTTTCTCCCGATCATAGAAAGAGGAAACCCTTTATGCCAGCAGTGTTTCGTAGTTTTCCTTCTCGTGGGAACGGCAGGGAAACGTGCCTAGCCGCCCGAAGTCCATTTGCCCTCGTGACACGGTGAGAGCGAAGTGAATTGGTGAATCCATTGGATGATATTCTTGGTGAGTGGCCTGTGCCATTGCTAGCGCTGACGTTGATCCGTTTGCGACTTTTTGGGGGCGGCGCTTCGACATTCTATTGGACCGTAGAGTTCTATAATAATATGCTTCTGTGGATGGCTGAGAGGGCGCCTGCAAATGGTCACAAAGGGCCACTAGGAATAGAGGTTTCCACTCACTCCTGTCCTGCTGAGGATTGACGTAGCAGAGGTGCCTCAGTTGCCTTGGCGTGCTGCACAAGACATGCTAGTTAGTTCCACACACATGGCTCCCGACCATTCTACCACCTGCTGGCGGTTGCAAAGCACGGTGGGACGTTCACATTGTGGAGTCAACTTGCAATGTTGCTTGGGGAGTAAAAGCCGAAGAGATTCGATCCTCGAACTGCAAGTGGGCATCATCCGTTCTCCGAAAGGAAAAATAACGGCCCGATGCCCTTATGTTTTTGACTGGTTCGCCCCTTCCCTTTTCTCGAAATTCGATGCAAACACACCAAACACTACTCTTTGCTTCTGAACTGGAGAACTGTCAACATCTCGACTTCTCCTGCATCCCACAAGCCGCTGCTGCGTACTTGTACCTGAGGCTTTTCCAATCCGACAGATTCAGTGGCAATCCGCGGTATCCTTTTCTGCTGTATAATCTCCTTCCTGCTTCTGATAATGCTTAGCTTCGTGTTGCTAGCCGCCTTGTCAGGCGTCAATAGGTTCAATGCTGACGTCTCCATCCAAAGGATTTTAGGTTGTAGTGCCTGCGTCTCTCGGCGATGACGGATAGCGTCTTTATCTATGATGCCTCACAGCCTGCAGAATCATGGGACGATGATTCTCGGTACGCCCCTTAACTTCGGCCGTTCCACCAAATACTCTCCTAGCCCATCCCCGCATCATGCCTTGCCACAACCGCCGCAGGATCGACTCGGATTCCTCCATTGGCTGAATGGGTGAGAGGAGGCGAATATGGTCAGTAGCCACCGCGATATGTTTGCTACACAGTCAAATGGAAACTGCTGCTTAATAATAAACCGGTGGGCAATGTGACTGAGAAAGACCTGGTCGTAGCTCTTAGCGGTTATTGGGACAAGTATCTGAAAGCGGAGCTTGACAATATGGTGCAAACGAAAAGGAAGGCCAACCAAAGGGTGCGATCTGAACAACAATCAGGTTACGTGGATGATCGAAAGCAGTGTGCGCTAGAACGGTTCCACAACGCCACCACCATTGATTGGATGGCCGTGGAAAGACAACTATGTAAATGGGGCAACCTGCTTCGCATTGCGAAAAAAAACACTGTTAGTATTGCCTTTAGCTATAGGCAGGATGATAACGGGTCTGGCCCGACCAAGAAAGGCGACAAAAGGGGCTGTGTATCGGCTACAAATATAATGCTTGCCGAGCGTGATGCATATATTGCTGAAGAGGAAGAGAGAACTAGGCGACCCTCTGCGTGGAACTCTGTGTATGAGCTTATGCAATGCAATGTCCGGCCATGCCAGCTGAACTCTGACTGGTGCTGGGAAGACCCAAAATCTCCGTTCACGCTTCCCAGATTTAATCCTTTCCAATCTAGAAGCAGGCTCCGACCCCTGTCGTTTTTGACCTCGAGCGCTCTACACCTGCGAGTGGCCGACAACCCTATTCCCAAGATCATACTCTTGCCTCGGGTATGATTTGTCCACAGGGTCTGCTACTGGGGCGACAGCCTCGCCGCGGCTGACGGACTTAAGAAGGATCCGAACAATCGGTATTCGACATCACCCAGCTGCCACTAACGCTGGTCGAACAGTCGTCACACCTTTATCAGAGCAAAGCTTATGCACTCATTGTGGTCCGTTCACGCGGGCAAATAAATAATATCTCTTTATCACAGTGCTCTTCTTATTCAACGGCCTGCTCCATCCTCTTCTTGGAATACAATGCCGGAGCAGCGCGCTGACTATCCTTCTTTCTCTAACAACGCCCAAGACGCTTCTCCTCCTCGTTTGATGGACCGATCCAGCAATGCCCTCCTGGCCCTCCTGGCTCGCCTGTTATCAACTGGTGGTCCCTTGGTATTCCCCTTCCTTGAGGTGCCCCTCGAATAATTGATTTTCGACGACCTTTGAGGTGAGGATCACATTAGGACTACCTTTTTGGGTCGAGTACTTGCCTTGCGGCGTAGTTTGGTTGAATAGTGAACTTGGAGCGATGACATATTTCGCTCAGGAAATTGTTTAGCAATCTCTGACCAACTCAGTCCCTCCCTTTCCTTCAGCCGCACCAACAGCGCATTTTCGTCCGATGAGTACGGTTTTTGTTTCCCTGGAGTATCCGCCATATTCGGTCGAGACAGTATCGGGCTTGTGTCAGGCACGAAGGTAAAGTAGTATGCTGGTTTCAGGCCAGAACTAGACTCAACGGTGAGGAAGGCACTCCCGCGGAGCCCGCGGATATCACCAGAACAATGACACGAAGCAGGAATTGAAGGGCCTTGGGGGCTATGATGAAGCTTATTTGCAGGCCTTCGTTTCTGCCTCTTCTGACTCGGCCGCTCTGTGTTGGGGAAAGGCACATCCCGATCTTGTTGGTTGCCGACGTCTCGGCCTGAGCGAAGTCGCTTGTTGCAGGCTGCCGCAGCGACCCTTGTGCTTGTCCTGATGGCTCCTTGCTTCCACGACGGTGGCGGTACAACCACAGCTATTGATGGGTAGCGCACCAGGCTATCGGAAGTTGGCGCCGTTGGAGCCCCAGAAGATTTTGGACTAGAATACTCGTTCGACTGAGCGGACGGGCCAGATGCGGGTGACGTGGCTTCGGCAGTGCCGGCAACGTCCTTAGCCCGCTCTGGAGCATGAGCGCATGGATTTCCACCGAGATCAGATGCCCAGCGTGACTCTGTATCCTTTCCGCAGTACCCAGCGTCGACACAGTCTGAGCCGCAGGTGCCAGTGGCAGACACCTCCGGCTTGGCTGATTCTTGCTGGGAGATGCCATAGGCGAATAGATTGCCAGGGGCATTGCTTGCTTGTTCGGGTGCAGGTGTGGTCACACAGGGTACACACGAGAGTCGAGAAGTCTCCGCTTCCTTCGTATCAGATACAGCCTCTGAAAAAAATGTTTGACGAAAAGAGCTTGATGCCAGAGTATTATCGAGTGTTGCACAAACTTACCCGGGAGGTCGTTTTGCCGTGTCTCGGGAGTGGAGGCTTTAATTGGTGCTGACTCTGACAAAGCCAAGGAGTAACTCCCCAGATCTAACGGAATATCAAGAGTAACCGGCGCGGCTGTTGTCGCCGTGGGCTCAGAATCTTCTGCCGTTTGGTGCCCGACGTCGCCGTAGGTTTTGTTGATCTCGATATCAAATGCGTTCCATACTTGGGAAGTAACGGCCGATGGCCGTCCCCGTTCTAGGGGGGCTTCAAACAGCCCTGGCCGGAAGGCGAACCCAGTGGCAAAAGAAGGCTGGGAGGACCGTGCAAATTGAGGAGGAGGTAGCTGTTTGCCACCAGGAGAAGGCAGCTGGCCGCTTGGGCCATGGTAGAACTCGATTTGATCAAGATTCACCTTCATTTTCCAGAAGAGCGGTAAGTCACGGCAGAGGTATTTTCAAACAAATAATATAGCCTTGGATGAGAGGTCTGTTTCTGTCCGTTCTAGGCCATACTCAAAGCAAAGAATGAAAGGAAAGGAGGACAACCAGACTTTATAATACCAAGGCTCCACCACGCCAGAGGTATTACTGGGTGAAGATAAATCATCATAGCGGCTTTCAGACTGCCCAAGATCGTAGGCTATGATATCCCTGCCATTGCCTTTGTTGATTCTGACTTTCGCTTGCGTCGGGTGGGGAGGTCGAAGTCCGTTGAGCAAGGAGCCAGACCCGTCTCGGTGAGAGAGGGGTATGAATTCCGGAGTGCCCACTATAGGAGGGTCCTCCTTGCCTGCCTATGAAACGTCACAGCCTTCAGAAAAGCTCAGCTGATGATATAGAATTGGACAGAGATTGAAGTTGGAAAAGAAGCCCCCAGTGCCAGCGGCGGCCTACTATTCGCGGATTAGGCAAGCCATCCATTTTCACAGCTGATTCGGAAGACTTTAGGCCAGTCCAAGAGCTCCTTGAGGCATTTTTGCGGTTGGCTGGTAGATTGGAGCGGATCTAGTGCGAGCGCAGCTTGTGTATGTTCAGTCGACGGTTGGCTGCGTTGGGAAAATGACCGTCCTGGGGCGCAGCAAGGCATCGGCGAACCGCGGGCAGGGGCAAAGGCGACGGTCCCACATTGGCATCCGCAAGCCATCTCGTGTGATGAAGGTGGTGAAGGATACCGGCTCGAGCGCAGCGGGAACGTTTCACACCGTATGTAGTCTAGGCCGCTGGCATCCCCTCTAACAATCTCGCAACAAGCAAAGTCGGAAAATAGGTCTGCTTGAATGAGAGTCACTCGATAGCGTATCGTGAGCAACTACGAGTGCGTCGACTCACATAAGGCAGAGAATAATGGGCAGTCCGTGTTGAGGTGCAACGACGCTGTGCAACGCTAGACTGTTCCTACCCAATTTCGCGGGTGGAGAAGCAGGCTGTGCCCGGGACGTAGAGTTTTCAGCCTGCAGGGGGCCACATCAGCTGACCAGGGGGCGGCACCGGAGGAAATGGAAAAGGAGAGGGGAAGAGTATTGAAAACAAGAGAGTCATCGTGGAGCGACGCACGACGGCTTTATATAGATCGCGGACGTCGCTGGACGGGCGGTGGAAGACGGCAGAGCCCGATCAGGCTAGTGGGTGACGCCAAACCAGATACGGACAGGCTAAACCAGAGGTGGCCCGCTCGCTTGTGGATTACGTTAACTAGTTAGTTAGGTTAACTAGGATGAATCGCATGCTGACTCAGCTCAACTCCGCCAATCTTCCGCTCTCGCATCACAGCTTCATCAGCACCACATCATCCACTGTATCGACGTGAAAATGGCCCCTCGCCTCGTGGCTTCCTGCTACATGGTGTTCTTCATCCCTCAGTGATCCACTTCTTCAGGGTCATCCCCGAATGGGTGCCCCAACGATGGACCCCAACGCCTTCACCCGCCCCTTTGACGAGTCGTTGATTCGCGAACTCCCTCAGCTTCAATCTCTCCGCATTGCTCCCCTCCGCCAGCCTGTGGCCCGTCTCCGGAGCATCCCTTCCCCCCTCGAGCCCAATGCCAGCCGCGTCCGGAAGTCCCCCAGTACCACCAACAACGCCATCCTGTCCGCCCGCAATGACTCGGTTCCCGGAGCCCCCGAGGTGACCTCCCGGCCCAAGAAGACGGACCCCTCGGTGGACTCGCTCCTGAGCGTCGAGCCGCCGCCGCCCCGGCCCATCTTGCCCGCCTTTGTCAATCTTCGTGCGCTGGAGCGATTCTCCTACCCGTTCGACGACGACAGTGTCCACTTCCGCAAACGCCGGCGGTTGGACGTCCAGTCGGAGAACTTCGGTGACCACCTGCAGTTGCCCATTCCGCAGGCGCAGAAGGAGCAGCGGCCGCCGCCCTTTGGGCCGTTTGCGATTCTGAATGGTCTCAATGAGCCGCCCCCGAATGCGGCCCTGCTCCCCCCGATCGAACCCGGGTCGATCACACAGCTCCTGACCAAGCCGTCCCGGGCCAGTGCGGTCGTGGAGCCAGCCTTACTCACTGCTAATGCGGTTGCAGGTAGCCAGGTCGCGGAACGACGAGAGGGCCGGATTGAGGAGATCCTGGACTCCCCGGTCGATCGCGCGGCGGACGAGGAGATCTCCAGCGGGCTACTGGAGGAGGTCACCCCCGAAGAACCGACGAGATCCGACAAGACCGATACGGAGACGGATCCCCGAGATCCATCTACCGAGGACAATACCGAGCCGCTGTCGCCCAAGACGCGTGGCCGGTCTCGCAAGAACCTCCGCAAGTGGACCGAGGACGAGACGACGGCCCTGCTGCGCGGGGTGGTCAAGTGCGGGATTGGCAACTGGACGGCGATTCTGGCCCAGCCGGAATTGAAGTTTAACAAGCGCAGCGCATCCAACTTGAAAGATAGGTATGGTCGAGCCGGGTGGACGTGGCGGACAGACTGGATACCAACTAAGTCTATCTAGGTTCCGCGTCTGTTGCCCGTGGGCGTACCGGTGAGTTCGACGGGTTCTCGTAGGCTGTGCGCATCTAATCTGCTCAGGGCGGCGGATCCCAATGAAGCCACCAAGCAACTGCATGACACGCTCGCCAACGCCCTCTCGCGCGCGGAAACCGAAGGGTCCGACGGACAAGCGGGGAAAATCCACCTGCCACACCCGCGTCCCGCGGAGCATGCCAGCGCCGTGCCTCTCGAGGCCAGCTCGAAGGAAGCAGACCCGAAAGGCAAGGCCAAGAGCAGCTCCACCACGCCGACTCTGTCTAGTAGATCCAAATCGACCCTGGCGTCGCTAGGCATCCCCGAGCCACACTTTACCATGAAATCACGGCGACGCTCCCGACGGCCGTTCACCGTGGTGGAAGACGAAGCCTTGCTCAAAGGATACGCCGTGCACGGCTTCCAATGGACCCTGATCCAGCAAGACAAACGCTTGAACCTGAGCCACCGGCGGGCGACGGACCTGCGCGACCGATTCCGGACGAAATTCCCGCACGCCTATCGGGATGGAGGGTCCGTGAGTGGACGGACCCTGCACGGGAAAGACAAGATTCCTGAGCAGCGGATTCCGGGCAATGGACCGAACCCGCCTGTCCGGGCCAAACCCGAGGTCAGCGCACATGGACCCATTGATCCAGCGCTGGCACCTCCGGCACCGCCGCAGGGGTTTCACGAGAGCTCGAGCAGTGCCGGGCCGGGGGTGTTTCCGTTTCCGCTGGACGAGAATTCGGGAGAAGCGTCGTGGGCGGATAATACGTTGGCGCCGATGATGTGGGATGAGCTTGCGTGAGCTTAACCTAGTAGACTGCTGTGCATTTAGCAATGCATTACGGCATATTTGCTTGGCGTGCTACATTGTTGGACTGACATGATTGCTAGCGAGCATGTTGAGATATCACTACTGGTTAGATGATATGAGAATGAGCAAACAATAAACAATCTCGGTAATCCACTGGCTTAGATGCTGCTAGTAGACAGACCTGATAATGCCCATATCATATGATAGACAGTATTGCACTTTCACTTTCACACAACATCATAGAATAGAACAATAAAATAAGACATATTGCAGACCAAATGATATAACGCTAGATACAACAAGAAATCCGCCCGAACCGACAGAACTGGAATGAGCCGATGGAAGAATTGAATAGAAGAAAAAGTCGGAAAGAATAGACTCCTTACCTATGCGGACTGACCATCGTCGATCTCCCTCGGATGTTCAATATCGTATCCATCTGTCTGAAGCAAGGACGCACTGATCGATGGACACTACAATACCATCCCCTCTCTCACACATCACACTGATTCCCCCCTCAGCCACCTAAGCTACCTCATACAACCTTCCTTCTACCACGCATTCCGATCCCAATTCGGATCTATAACCCATTAGCACGAGTTCCCCCAGCCCCATTTTCCCCAAACCAAAATCCGAATAAAGTAGGAAAAAACATACCCTGTATAAAACTCGCCAAAACCTTACTCCCCGTCTGCAACAACGGATGTCCCGCCACAATCTGCAAAAACCGCTGCAACCCCTCCCTGCGATGCTCAATCACATCATCACTGAACCGATTCGTAAAGACTTTCCCGGGCAAGGGGGGAATCGTGACGCGCGTGGACTCCCGCTCCAGGATGTCCCGGAAGTATTCGAAGTCGGAGTAACGGCGCCGCACGACGCTGTGTTTGAGTTTGAAGGCGGGGATGTTCGTTCGGCAGACGATTTCGTAGGATGTGTACATGTTTCGGGATGTGCCGTGGGTTTGGGGGTTGCGGACCTGTTGTAGTTAGTTGTTTGGTTGGGGGGGAGATTGGGGGAGATTGGGGAGGGGATTGGGGGGAGGTACTTCTATTTCGAGAAAGTTCTCGGGTGGGCCGTAGATCTCCTCGAAGGTTTGTTGGCGGGATTCAGGAACGGCTTGCATTTTGGGCTTATGGCGGGCGCGTGTGCTTCTGTGTTGGTGTTGGTGTTGGTGTTGGTGCTGGTTTTGGTGGTGGTGGTGGTGGTGTATGTCTCGTGTCTGGCAGCGGTGGTGGGGACGCGGGGAAGCTGCGCGCGGGTATAATCCGGAAATCAGCCGAGTCGCGGACTGAAAGTAAGCAAATCACACGAAGCAGTCTCACGATTGAGCTGACACGAGGTGCAGTGGTGTTGCGGAGGACAAGACGAGGCAGATGACGACGGCGAGATAAGATGACTCGGCCAGTGGGCATTCCGCCGATCGGAGTCGGCGCATTGTTGCTCCATTCCGTATATCTTTGTTATATCTACTCCGTACTCGATGCTACTCCACTATATATATAGTACAGTCGAATATCATAGCAACAATCTATATTTCACAGATCACTAACTCCTCAACTCCACAGTACCAAACAACAGCTACAGGGTATAAGTGAACATAACCTTGGATTGGTCTAATACACCCGAGCTTCAAACTGCAATAATGCCAATTTCCCCGATCCGAACTCAGCAAGCAATAATTTAATCAGGTGTACAGACCGAAGACAGCTGGAGATGAGAAACTATTCTTGACGACTGCGCTTCGCCCCGTGAGGGTTCCACGACCCATCGCCGCCCACCTGGTTGGGAGGGAAGAAGCCCTGATTGAAGCTGGGGTTAGGCCCCTGGAAGCCGCCTTGTCCTGATCGCATCAGCATGATTCAACTTATACACATCGGACGGCACTTACCTTGCATCCCCATGTTTCCGCCCATCCCGCCCATCATCGGGTTCATCCCTCCTGGCATCGCATTCATTCCCATCCCTCCCATCGGGTTCATCCCCGGCATGCCCATCATGTTGGGGCCCGTCATGCCACCGCCACGACCGCGCATGCCACCGGGTCCGCCGCGCATCCCGCCCATCATGCCGCCGCGGTTGTTGAAGCCATAGTTCTGCATGCCCATCGGATTGCCCTGGAACCCTCCGCCAACCATCGGCCCTTGGAAACCACCCATCGGGCTCTGGAAGTTGCGGTTGCCGCCAAAGTTACCCATGCCACCGGACATGCCGCCCCGGTTGTTGAACCCGCCGCGACCACCCCGGAAGCCTCCTCCCATGTTATTCATGCCAAAGTTCATATTCTGGTTAGGCGAATTGAAGCCGCCACCACCCATGGTCCGCGCCTGGTTATCCTTGCGCATGGGGGCATCTTTGGGCAGTGTGCGGAAAGGGTTCGGTTGGGGGCTGGTGTACGTAACCATGTGCTTGCGCGTCTGTCCTCCCGCGCTGAACGAGTCGATCTTGTGCTTGGTCGCAGTAGCAGCCTGCAGAGTAGTGAATTCAAGGAATGCTTGTCTGCACAGAGTCAGTCCCGTATCGGACAGGAAGCCTGTCGGAACTTACCCTTTACTTTTACCGTTCACCTTGTGCTCGCTGAACGTTACGTCCTTCAGCTCCGACTCGCAATCAGCCTGGCTGACCCAGCCGCGGATATCATCGTCCGTGGTCCACCAATACAGGTCCGATATGAGAAGGGCGGGAGTTGCATCCGGATCCGTCGGGCGATCATCATGCTCCTTGCGCTTCACACCTTGAGGAGCAGGCGTCTCCTTGAGCGTCGACTGGGTGGCGGCGGCCCCCCCTTGGGTTACAGGTTCACTATGCGAAGCGGTCTCGCTGTCCGGCTTCATCGTCCCATCAGAGGAGCCATCGGTACCTTGGCTGGGGTTGCCATTCGACTGCTCCGGCGCATCTAGGATCAGCTCTGTGTCATCATGCTTCATCTCGTCCTCGGGCTTGTAGTCTTGTTCATTGGCGTTGTAGCCACCCCCATCGCCATAGATGTCAATATCGAAGTTATCATCTTCAGTGGCCATCGTGCTTAGATATGAATCGGTCAAGGCAACTTGATTGCTTGCTTGTGATATACAGTCCTCCTTGGGTCCTCTTTAGTTTCAGGATCGATGAGATCAAGAGAAGTACATGTCTGTAGACACCGGCCGTCAATTAGCAAGGAGGGAATCATTCATCATGCCTTCACGGCGGTTTCCAACGGCCGGAACATCCCCCGGGTATTTTCGACTTAAAGCACAGGGGCAGATCGCAGTGCGACGACAGAATAAAAGGCTTGATGATACGTACAATCCGAAGCGAACACAGCCTCAAAAAGAACAAACACTTGACCAGTTCGTCAATCTGATAGCTCTGAAACGGAGATGCAGGCGCAGGGTGAGGGTCCTTGTTTCAGGATTTGCAAGTACAGGGAGTGTCAAACGAAAAGAAGGGGATGAAAAGTAATTCCACACAAGATGCGGCGCCGCGGGTTCTGCTGCTGCCGGGCAGGCAGAGCGTGGCTAGACACAGGTCCGAGAAACCCTCCAGGTGAGAGTACAGGAAAGGGAGAAAAAAATCCAGCAAACAGAGTCGGGAGCGCAGTTAGTCCAAAGTCTCCTGAAGACAGAAGTAATCCAGGTCCTGTGTACACGGCTCTCTCCGCCTACTTGTCTCCTGAGTTCGGTGGCAGCGCTGGAGTGGCGAGAAGGGAAGTGAAAGGGAGGATTGAGGTGAGGGGACTGGAAAAGGGAGATGGCGGGATGGATGGATGGATGGAAAGTGGTGAGATGATCGCTGAAAGACGTGTCCGACGAGGAAGAAGCTGAGCCGGTGGAGCGCGATAGAAGAGAAGGAAGGCCAGCTGCTGCCACGGCCATCTCGAAGGCGCGGGTGGAGCCTGGCTCGGACCGGCGCAACTTCTGCTCCGGACCCCAGAATCGACTGGACGCGTCAATCCCCAGTCCAGCTGGCTACGATGCCATTGAAACTTCTATTATCATAGTTCCTGATGGTCTGAGAGATTTATCTTGAAATACTGTCTACGAGGGATGGAGTGTTCCAACCCAGGGCTACGGCGAGGCGTGCTATTCATAGGACGATAGGCAGGCCTAGATGCCTATATGTGGTCGTGTTATCGATAAACATCTTGAGCTAGCGCATTACATTCTAATGGAGTACTGCCATTGCCAATATGCCATTCAAAATGCCGTCAAATGCTTTCCCTATGCTTGCCAACAATCAGGGTTTAACCCTCGTGTTCGTTCAGCCAGCCCGACCGGAAAAAGAAACCTGATCCATACTTCCAACGATCACCATATCTCAGAGTACAGCTCATCATCCAGTGGAGACCGTTGGACAGGTCGACTTCGCCTCTGCATCGACTCCTTGAACCGGTTGAATTCACCCACCGACTTCAATCGGCTGTCATAGTTGCCCGCCACCGGCGGATCGCCTTCATCGCTATCCACTCCGTCGTTCCAAGTATGCAAGGTGCATGTCCCAGTGGACAATCCCCAGCCATTCCAAGACGTCGCTGAAAAGTCAGTCAGGTCACCAAATCACCCGGGGTACTTACCGGCTAGGACAGGACTGTTCGGATGCCAACTGGCATCCCGAACACACGTTTTCCACATCACATCGTTCCGGCTGCTACGGATCTCATACGCAGCGGTGAAGATGTCGGGATCGCGCGGGCGCGTGTTGGTCGTCGCGGCCCCGACATCGATCGTTCCGGCGAGAGTGGCATCCAGATTATAGACGTATACCTTGCCATCTTCACTGCCCGAATACACATATCTCGAGTTTGTGCTTCCCGGTGGCGAGAAGTGGCACCGGATCAGAGTCTTGAGGACGCGGTGGCCCCGGAATGTCACCACAGAACAGTCGTGGGGATGCGCTTCGTAGTAATCATCGGGGTACGGTTCGAATCGATAGTCAAAGCCGGTCGTGTACCGGTTAACGTCGACGGTGTCGAACTTCGCCGTCGTCATCATCTTCCTCAGATCCCACAGCTTCATCGATTGATCTTTGCCATTGGACAGTACATATCGCCCGTCACCTTTGCTGTCCACATACGTTAACCCTTCTGTATGCCCAATGAATACTCCGGCCTCGCGCCCGTCACCCATCGAGCGCCTATCCCACACTCGCAGCGTGGTATCATCAGAGCCCGAATAGAGGATATGGGGCGACGACTTGTCCCCAAAGCAGACCGCATTCACATCGTCCTCGTGATTCGGAAGCCGCAGGACGGACTGGCGCGTTTCTAGATCATAGACGATGACCGATTGATCGGAGGTGCCAGCCACAATCTCCCGGCCGTCGCCCGAGAATCGAATAGACCAGATCTGTGATCAGTTAGCAGGCAAGACAGACGATATTGGCCTGTCATCATACCCCGAAATGCGAATTGCCATAAAGTCCGCGCCCGCCTCTTCTACCTGGAACCGACGACAGGTCTAGAATAGCCGGGTCTGAGGTATCTGCCGGGTCCGTGGGGGCAAGGCAAACTAGGTTTCGGATCGAACTGTACGCCAGGAACTTGTTGTCCGGGCTCAGGGTGGCATCGGTGATGGTCCATTGCCCAAACGGGTACTCCACGGTCTTGTAGTATTTCCACTCGAACGGATTGGATGTGTCGTACATCCGAACCTTGAAGTCCTGAGCGCAGCAGAAGAAGAAATTCCCGTCGTCCGAAAACTGTCCCGAGTAGCACCGCGAGTCGAAATGAATGATCTTATCCGCAGCGGAACCAGGAATGAGCCCCTACTCTCCAGTGTCAGCATACATCCTGTCATATCATCATCTAAAATCCCACCTGAGTTATAGACTGTACGTCCCTTTGCCTCACCGACGCATCCACCCCCAGTTCTCGCCACATCATCTTCGTTGCAAGGGACCGTTTGCGCTTCTTCAATCTGTCCACGTAGTGAGGGCTCGATCCAAAATCGCCAGAATCCATCAACATCGCTCCCTCATCACTCGGAACCTTGGGAAACTGATGACCTCCCGATCGTCGTGCTCGTCGCCGGTATCCGAAGAAACCAAAGTCGTAATCTTCCTCATCCTCCTCATCGGGGATGGAAGCGTCGTGGAGCCCATTATAATTAAGAATATGGCGTAGCCCATTCGAGGCCAACAAATTAAGCAACCGCGCTGCAGAAACTGACCACCATAAGTATTCAAGCCCCCAAAACATGCATCTAAGGAAATGTCGGTGCGGGGAAGCTACCTCTATTATGTCTTCCCTCCTGGGGCTCTGCATTCGGGTCCTGATCCGACTCGTCCATGGCAAATTCGATATGTATATTACCTAGATGCAATTCGGGGTCTTCGAAGAGCAGAAGTGGCGGGGAAAAGTATCAGCCATATGCATGAGTGATAGGGAAGGGTGACAGGGATGTACCGAAGCGATGATCGTCAGCATCAGCATCCTCGTCTTCGTACAGCTCAGCATCCAAATCTTCCTCGTCGTCTGAGACTATCGATTCCGGATCGTAGTCCATATCATCCTCCTCCTCATCCTGCTCGAGCCACTCCCTCGCGGGATGCCATACAGTCCCAGAATCTCGGGACGGAGACCCCGGTTGGTCGCCGCCGGCGGGGGGCGAGCCAGACGTACTCATGATCGGCCGAAACGTGAGGGGTACGAGCAGTCGGTGAATCCGCTACGGGGTTCATATCAGACAGCCCCCGACTTCCAATAGTAACGGAAAGATAAAAGGTAGGCGAGGTGCCGGGCTGCGTCTCAATTGGCCGGCAGGTCTGCTCCGAGATGGCCTCGCAGCTTCGTTGCTGGCACCGCTTATCGATACCGTCGGTTATGTCATCTCGGACGGAGGGTCGCCCTTAACTCCTATCCCCGGGGCGGCGGACTCGAACACGAGTAATCATTCTCATTGAGCTTACATTCGTCTATCATGTTCAAGTCAATTCATGAACATATCATATTCATGTACATGGGAATCGCAAAACTCATAGCAGGTCATAACGAAGGCGGAAATCGAAAAACAAGTCAGAAAAACCACAGCAGTGAACGAAACAGTGAAACAATGGCCGTTATATACTAAGTCAGCAGTCATTCATTCAACTTCTCCCACAGCCCACATCGATCTTTCGGTAAAAAGCATCGACATATATACCGGAACGGGCTTCACAATATCCAGCTCTTCTTCTGTTGCGTATATGACACCCGTTATCAAGTTAGACAGAACGTCCCCTACCACCTCAGTGCCGCGAGTGAACATCACTTGGAGATATCGGGGACCCTGGGAGTCGGGATTGGTTACTTGAGCCTCTGCGTTGATGTCGTGGGACTCTAGCTGCTCTGGACCCGGAGTATCTGTCAATAGGCTCATCCTAGACTTCTTCCTCATGGCAGCAGCACGGAGCACGATGAGCTCGACAATCACATGCAGTTTCGCTCGCAACTGGGCATGCCTTTTGCGCGGAATGCGTCTAGCTGGAGAGCTGTGGCGCAGTTTCCCCGATGGATAGCATAGGTATCGGCGATCGCCAGCTGACTCGGTTGTGTCAGTCCAAACGCCCTCTTGGCCGCATTCTACTGTCAATGTTTAGCAGTCATGCATCAGAGAGGTTAGGGCAAGCACGCACGACAGGAAGGTGACATTGAGTGGAAAAGAACTGCCTCATATAGTAACCAGCAAGTGTGCATATGATTGAGGAAGTCTTCCACCATAGTCAAAACACAGAAAGGAAGGACGCTGTACAACTCATGTTGCAGCTTCATAAGAGACCGCAGGTTGTATGTCTGAGCCAGTTTCCTAGTTCCATGTAAGTCACCATGGTCACAATCATGCGCAAGTTCTTGTGCTTCTAGCCGTGTCTTTTCACCTAGTAAGTAATCAAGCCCTTCAGAGGCTGAAGTGTGTAGCTTCGCTGCCACAGTTTGTGCCACTGCATCATGGCCCATGTGGCTTGCAGAGGGAGCATGAGAACCCGGGCAAATAGAACCTAGGCTGCCGGTACTCGAGGTCTTCTTCGTGTGTGCCATTGAAATGCTGGCTTCACGACTTTCATAACCTGAAAAGGCCAGCGCACTCGGGTGAAGCTGTTCCTCAAGGATAGCATAAGCGATATCACTTGAAAGGTCAGCCGGACCTCCTGCTTGATCGGATGACGATAGGAACCGAGTATCATCTGAGACTGGACGCTCCAATCTAGACAGCTCGTTGCCATCGATGGATTGCTTGCAGTTTTTCGATTGTTCGACCTCTCGAAAGTCGTGTGTCTTGCAGACCATGTCTGCACACAGATGGCACTTGAGAACGGTTCCCTTCATAAGTTGACACTTGGTGCAGTCGTCCAAAAGGTGTCCACAGCCATGGCACTGTCTTTTGAAAGACTTATTAGCCACAGAACGGGGATCCTGCTTGGGGGTGGTGTCTAAAGGGTTGCTGCTAGACCGCAATATGCAGCGACGGGTATCGTCTGAGATACGTCTTGAAGCAGGTTCGTACGAGTTAGATAACGGGAATTCGTCGCCACGCTGTCCCGAGTCACGTCTCGCAAGGCTCGCTGGACGGTCTCCTCGCACGAGGGACCTGTGCTGGCTTGTGAGGCTCGATAGTACTTCGCCGGCCGTCTCACGGGACATGTCGCTTGGGCTAGAAGGAGTTGATTCTGTATGTGAGGCGGCTTCTGTTACGCCACTGGATTCGCTTGAGATTGTCTCATTATCGACTTGGCCAATGGCGTCCACGCAATTGGAGAAACTGGTACCATAAAAGCCATAATTCTGGCCAGCATTCGGTGAAGAGCCTCCGCTGTTGCCAGTTCCATAGGGGAAGGACGGCTGCAAACCACTCGCTCCGGAACCATTTCCGAAGAACTGGTATCCATTGTGGCCATGCCCACTACCGCCACCTCCAGGACCACGATCATCACTCCCCCGCCTACTGTGGCTTGCACTAGTGCTCGTCGAACTATTTCCAATGCGGCAATGCTCGGAAATACACTTGAAGTACTCCTCCCAGCAGTTTACGGGCTTCGAGCACAGCCCACATACATGGGGTGGAGCCACTCTGATCTCCATCAGATGTGATTGCTCCCGAGTCACTCGCAATAAATAGTTGTGATGGTTTCTCATGTGGCAGTAAACCTTGTCCCGCCTTGCTGATGCAAAAAAGCAATTATTGCCAAGGCACTTGTATATCACTTGGCGATGGTGTGTGTAGGAGACGTGTCGCCTGAAAGTGCCTCGAGCCTGGAATGTCTTGCGATTCTCCGGAGGACAGAGGTAGCAGACATACCTGACTCTGTTGTTGGACATGTTGTCATGCGAGTCAGGTGAGTGAGGCAAGTGCTCAGCAGTGTCGATTTGGTGCTGGATCATGGCGATGTGTCTTTCGTAGTTGACTCTGAGCAGATCTTTTATCTCATAAAGACGTGTTATTCCCTGCTCTGAAGCGCCAGCTTCAAGCGCGGTTGTGACTTGCGCCAGAGCAGCACTCAGATTTTTCACATGATTGTCACCCTGAGTTTGGGGAACAGGGAGAACAGAGGGAACAGGGGGAACAGGGGGGACCAGAAGTGTGAGTGGATCCGAGCTCATATGCAGGGACGGTGCCTGTATGCCATTGACTCCATCACCAGATATATTTGCAAGATTGCTCCCGTTGTCTCTTGCAAGGAAGCCTATATCTTGTAGGTTACCCTCAAAGGGACTAATGCTTCGTGAGGTCGACACTGGCGAGGGAATCGAGAATCCATTGTACTGCTTCGCCTCTACTTAGTGGGTGATATGGACCCAAAACCTCTTACTAAGTGACTCACCGATGAAGCAGCATCGTGAAGCCCAACAGGCATCAGGTAAGGACCCTGGTGTGGTCGATATGGGTAGGCCAACAAATCACCTTGAAAGGACGAATATGTCCCGTTGTTGCTTGGGCCATCTTCCATCGGCGAAACCGAGATATGAAGTGACAATGTGGGATGAGATAGCTATTAGTCGTCTAGGAAGACAAAAGGAACAAGGACAATTGGATGGGTTGGATGGGAAGGAATGGAAGCCGAAGACGAGGTGGAGATAGAGCCCCTATACAGCTGACAGACACAGACAAACAAGAAAGAAAGCAGGTGCAGCAAAGAAAGGGTGTCAAATAGCTTTGGAAGAAGAGACCTGGAACTAATATATATAGTACCCTTGAATGTGAGACTCGAGTGAGATCAAGTATCAAGAGGGAGAGAGAGCATGGTCAGGGGAGGTGCTCGCTTCTTATAGTACCAGCCATCCGCCAACGGTATGAATCCCCGGTAACAGGGCAAGGTCAGTCATACCCGTATTATTTAGTACTTTGAGATGGGTGCGCTGTAATCTGACCGGCAGTGCAAGCGTATCTCAGAGCCTTGTCAAAAACCCCGGGCTCTCTGCCAACACGGACGTCATTAACGGACAGCAGTCGACAAGTGGATGAAGCCCCGGTGCCCACTGATTTATGGTGAAAATGCAGTACTAGAGGAATAAACCCATCGGAAACGAGATATGCTTTTTTTCCAGTCTGTGGGTTCCGGTAACCCTTTCGCTTGCAACTTCAACCGACTGTGCTGTGTAGACACATCCTGAACGATCATTTGCTCTGGAGTTGTAGTCAGCAGCAACAGCAGTACTAGCAGCAGCTACTCCGTACAGCTAACCAGATCGCCGCTACGGACCGAGCTTCCCAAGGTGGTACCTGGGGCCCAGACAGAGATGGTCTAGATTCATGCTTCTACGTCTGGGAGTACTACATAGTACAATCTGCTGATGGGAACTCTTTTCCGCCTAGCTCGAAGGATAGCACTTGCAATTTCACCTCACCGGCATCTAGACCTGCCATGTCACTCATCATCCTCGACTACAGACTAGTTAGTATATCTGAGCCCAAAAGTGAGGCGGCAAGGTAAGCCTTCAGACCATCATTTGAAGCCTCCTGCGTCTCAAGGGTTCGGAGTACGCCGGTTTCCAGAGCACCAGCAGGTCCGAGAGAACAACCGGTGACGATCACTTGCCAAATGATGGTGTATCTGGAGTGGGATCAAGGAAGAAGCTAACGGGCAGCCAGATCCCCGATCAGTCCCGTCCCCCAGACGGAGATACACCCATCACCACCGACAATGACTGCGACACATCCGCATCCAAGGGCAGGCAGGCATGCCATTCACTCGCACTTACTTCCAGTACCAGTATCTACCCCGCTCTGCCTTGAGAAACGTTGCTGCGGGTTTTCTTCTTTCTTTTTTTCGGGCCTTTGATGGTGCCTAAACCGGAAAATCGGAACGACAGTATCAGGAGGATGGATGTACGAAATTATCCTCAGTTCAATGGTGCATTCGGTCCAGACTGCGCGAATCCTGCGAGCTGCTGCCTCATCGTGTTCTGGACCTCTACTGGATGTTCAGGCAGCACAGCCCCGTAGTCACATTCCGACTGGCAAGAGCCTCTTCCCCTGCCCCGCCGATAACCGGCACGCGGTCCTCAAGTCACCGGCGCCAGTGACTGAGGAGAGATTGTCAACTTGCCCAAGATCTCCGCTCGGGGTTCATTCAAGCTGCCAAGCTGATGCTCTGGACACTCAGACATAGCAACGTTGTCTGCGGAGTAAGGGATATTCGCCACCCTCCCGTTAATCAACCTCTATGCGCTGCAACGATATCTACACGAGAGATGACATCAATGTAATGCCCTGGTCTCCCATGGTGGCTGTACGAAGACCACCTCGCTCGCTCCTCATTGCAGCATTCCAGGTCAGGGATCCGGATTAATTTCCTGTGCGGGTAGCGACCTCACTAGAAGTTTGGCTCCCATCAACGTGTGCGATAACCCGGGTTTCAGCATTATTCACAATCAATGACATTATCGTCAAATGACCGGCTCATTTCATATGCACGGAAAATATTCGCCACCGCACGTCAGTCACTTGTCGAGTCGAAGCTCAAACGTGCCATTTCCCATCACGCTGCAGCTCATATCTTCCGCCGAGTCCAGCCCCCCCTCCCTATGACTCGGAGATCAACAAACCTCAGCCACAACATGGATGAAACGTCTAGATTCATGGTCCTATCCCCGAGCACTTGACCATGATCCCCAACGCTTCGGGGCCCAACACTCGTCTGCCTGCCTTGGGTACCCATATCCCTGTCAATAATGTCTCACGTAATCTACCAATCTTCAACCCAATTGGCGACACATACCAGGAACCTGCGATATTCGGGTGCAAGTCCGTGCCTGGACCAGAATCCCATGCACACTACTCCGTAAGTGGTGGCATTAAACTCTATCCAGTATGAAAGACGGGTTTGCATGACCCAGAGCAGATGCTCGATCGCTTATGCAGGCAATGGACTCCATAACGTTCCCGTTCTGCTTTTGCAAAGCCAGCCGAAATTGACGCAAACCCAGAAAAAAGCAAAAAAAAAAAGAAGAATACTCGACACCTTCACCGTCCCCGCGGCCGGTCATCTTCGATCTCCCTGTCCCCTAGTCTCTCCCTGGGTGAAGATCTAGGCCCTTGATCTTTCCGTCAGCCCAGTTCAAACCTATTGTTCTGTTGAGCTTGATTCGACAGCCCTACCAGGATCCTGTTCCTTTCGCAGCGCTTTCCCAGGGAGATTTTCTTACATTTCCTAGCCTGCTTGCATTGTGCCACTTACAAAGGGACAGATCCTTATCCTCAGGCCAAACACAGATATGCGAGGCGTTATCTGGTGGGCGAGATACCCGACCCTGCGCCTGGGTTCGTTACCAGGCCAATCTTAGAGTCCCCCGTGCCAACCACAGCCAGATCACTGGAAAGATATGCTGCATGTTACGGGATATGTCGAATTACTTCCGATTATACCCGTCCGTGCTATGCACAGCCACAGACTACTCGTGGCATTGTAGGACTACATATGCAATAATCCTGAAACATGAGAGACATACTCGATAAGCAGGATCTAGATAGATAAGGAAACGACCTGGGTTTCGAGGAAGGGCACGGTAGTGAGGTGGTACAAGTTTGATTCTTCTACATCGTCTTCATTGTAGAGTGTGTGGTATATACACAGGTTCTCCCGCGCCCAAGATCCACGAAGCGAATCGCTTAGTGGGGGTGGTTCTTGTGGTGACCTGCAATGTGGTAAGCTGAGTTGCCCAATACACCAGAGGGATGTGGACAACGTACGGAGGTGGAAGTAGTACTCCATGCTGTAACCCAGGATCAGGATGGTGCCGATAGCGTGGGCGAGGGCTATCGAAATAAATCATCAGCACGGTTCAGCATCAAGTGGCATATGTGAATGAGTGCTTACGAGCAGCAGAGGGGTTCTTTCCGAAGTAGCGAGCCTGGTAACGGCCGATGATACCAGTGGGCTTGACTTCAGGGGCAGCGCCACGGGGGAGTCTGGCGTAGAAGTTCACGACGCGGTCCATGCGGGCAGCATCCTTGGCAGCACCGATCGCCTTTTCAACAGTTAGTTATGTTCATCAAGTTTGGAGCGCGTTTGTTGAGCTCCGAGTTGCAACACGAAAGAGATTGCTCCGGGCGGTAACGTCAAAGAAGTGCCGAGGCAGAAGGGGGTAGGGAGTCTCACGTTGGGGGAAGCGATCTAGTCATCAATTAGCATCCGGCAAAGACATCTTTCGTGTTTCTTTTCGGCTATTTCTCACCTTGGGAGGGATCAAGGTCGAGAGACCGCGGCGGGCGATGTAGCTCATCTTGGAAGATCTGTGCGGCCCCGAGTTAGAAATTGCCAGATCAATGATAGAAGAGATAGAGACTAAAGGGCCTCAACTGGGGAATAACCAACATACCTTGACGCTAGCAGGTGACTAGGACAATGGATAATGACGGAGAGAAGGAAGAAGTGCCAACGAGAAAGCGGGTTGTCGGAAGAGCGGTTCAACGCAGGGAGCCTCATCCACAGCGCGCTAAACCGAATTCGGATTTGTCGAACGCCGGCTCTCGCCGCATACCTCAACCTGCAATTACTCTACCGCAGCATCTTGCTCTCTCCACTCCACCAAGCACACATCGCCATCATGTCGCTTGTCAGAGCAGGAAGATTCGCCTGTGTCCGTGCCGGCAGGTTCGTCGCACCTGTCAATGCGCGTTTTGTGTCCACTGAGACCGGTCGAGGCGACCCTTCCCGCACATCCAGCACTTCTGATGCCCCGACCACTCCTCACCAGGAGAGCACCATGATCCGGAAGGAGAGCCCTTCCGAGGCCATGGCTCGCCATCAGCCCGATTACGATGCCACCATTGATCACGCCACCTCGTACGAACCTTCCACCAGACCGCATTGGAATGGCTCACTGACAACCACTCAGGCAATTCTCCCCTGTGCCCAAGCGCGTCATGGATGGCAGTGAGCCCGGTGCTACTGTTGCCGCCGCTGTCCTGTCCGGTGCACCCACCGATCTCCAGGCCCGTACGGTCCGGTATGGCACCCCCTTGAGATATACATCCCTATCAGCGCGCTGATCGTATCGTTTAGGATCTACCGCCAAGCGAAGCCCGCCACGCAGTCTGGAACCTGGCGTGCCCACCACTGGAGAATGGATTGGGATATTCTGCAGAGGGGACATCGCTGGGAGAACCCCCTGATGGGCTGGCAATCCTCGGCTGATTGCATGCAGGGCACCCACTTGAACTTCAAGACCAAGGAGGATGCTATCCTGTTTGCTCAGAAGCAGGGATACGAATACTTCGTGCAGGAGCCTAATGAGCGCCGCTTCGTTCCCAAGGCCTACGCTAACAACTTCGTTCACGAACCGAAGAAGATCAAGCACATCAAGACTAAATGATTGGGGGTTTCGGTGTATCATGTACATAAGTGCAGGTCTTTATTCAGGTTCTGGGTTGTGCTAGGTGATAAATTATTTCTACATGTTTCATTCTTACTGCCAGCTCATGGCGTTGAAATTTCTTAATGAGCTTCTAACCAAACTAACACATAGGAAGTGTGTGGTATATCAAACGAGCTTTGGGATGCCGAAGTGTATCTTGTGATTTCCAAAGGGATGATATCCTGCTTGATCTCCCGTGAGTAATTGCAGGTCCATTGAGTCAATCCAATGGTCAGGTCGATCTGCAACGTATTTCATGTCAGACCGCCTATCAGGACAAGGAGCTCTTGTTCCTCGCCTAAGGCATCTGCTTCGCGGTTCGTTGTTCGGTAGGCTTGGTAATTGGCCAACCATGATAGCGAGGAACCTATAATAAGCTCTAATATGGATTGATTATGTCGATCAGATATGAGGTTCTGGATTAGTGCATATGGAATGCTATCCCGTTATATTGAACCGATCCAATACGGTGGATTGATATTCGAAATCATTTGCATGAATCCGTTGATTCTAGGCTGAGAGACATGTCTTCAAAATTTAAAGCCAAATTGTCTATTTCGACATTGCCTTACTATCACTTGGATTGTGTGGCTTTACTATATGTTATGTTCACCACCATGGCCTAGAGGACACAACTGGTCCTTGGAAGAATGATGTTAGTTTTTGAGAGTGCCGCACACCGCGGAAATTCACCGGGTAACAGATGAAACCTTAAGCATGCAGCGTAGTGGATCTAGTCTCCTGCCCGTTCGTGAGAGATTTAGGCTTCAGCGGTCTGGCGAAAAGTCGTGAGGACATATATGTACGTTGGCCTCAAGGAAGCAATGCGACAAAGTATTTTCATGAACACACCATTGATCCTAGTCAAGAGATGCTGCTACATCTCCCCTGAGGAAAAATGAGGAAAACAGAATACCACTTCCGACCCTGCAACCATCCGGCAAGCACACATCCGGATGGTGGTGGCACTGGGACAGGCACTGATTCCCAAGCAAAGGCCGTCCAGCCACGGCGGCGGTACCCCGCCCCCCCACCTAAAATTTATTATCTGGTGAGTGATAAGATCGAAAATTTACCTATCTTCCAAGCCCAATACCCATCTTCCCTACCCCTCGTTTTCCGCCAGTCTTCGTGAAATTTAACTAGAACACTCCTTAATCAATAATAAAAAACATGTCGGACATCAACAACAACGAGGAGGGAACTGTCGCTACCCTGCGCAAGGTTCTCGTGAACGAGTCCGAGCCCCTCGCGCGCCGCTTCCGGGCCCTCTTTTCCTTGAAGTACGTGGCGTGCTTGCAGCCGCCTTCGGAGGATACTCTGCCCGCTATTCAGGCCATCGCGGCGGCGTTCTCCTCCAAGTCCGCGCTGTTGAAGCATGAGCTTGCTTATTGTCTGGGGCAGACGAGGAACCCGGACTCGGTCGCGTTTCTTCAGCAGGTTCTGAAGGATACCGAGGAGGATGTCATGTGTCGGCATGAGGCTGCTGAGGCGCTGGGGGCCTTGGGATATGAGGATAGTCTGGAGATTCTGAGGGCTTTGAAGGATGATGAGAAGGAGCCGGATGTTATTAGGGAGACGTGTGATATTGCCGTCGATCGCATTGTGTGGGAGAACTCGGAGGAGAGGAAGGCGGAGAAGTTGAAGCCTAGGTATGTTGCACATGGTGTGGTGGATTTACTTGTCGCAAAGGTGTTCGGTTTGGATTGGATTGCTAACTGGGCTCTTTCTAATGTTATAGTGACTTCACTTCCATCGACCCTGCCCCACCTCTTCCCCTGGCAGCCGCAGAACCCTCCATCCCGGAGTTGGAGAAGACCTTGCTGGACACCAAGCTTCCTCTCTTCCAAAGATACCGTGCCATGTTTGCCCTGCGCGACCTCGCATCCCCCCCTGATTTGCCCACCGCCGTTGAGGCCGTGAACGCCCTCGCCAAGGGTCTCAAGGACCCCTCTGCGCTGTTCCGCCACGAGGTCGCATTCGTTTTCGGCCAGTTGTGCCACCCTGCATCTGTCCCTAGTCTGACGGAATGCCTGAGCAACCAGGAGGAGGCTGGTATGGTGCGCCACGAGGCTGCCGAAGCCCTCGGTAGCTTGGGTGACGTTGAGGGTGTTGAAGATACCCTGAAGAAGTTCATCAACGACCCCGAACAGGTCGTCCGGGACAGCATCATTGTGGCTCTTGATATGGCAGAGTTTGAGAAGAACGGAGAGATGGAGTATGCGTTGGTGCCGGGCTCTGGGGCCGCTGCTGCCGTGTCTGCTTGATGAATTATGCGAACAAAAGGTCTACAATGCCGGTAAATAGTTGCTTTCATGACTCATAGATGTACAATTGAGAACAAAAATTAGACTCCAGGTCTTGCGCTTAGTTGTTCGTTGATTCCCTGTAGGAGGGTTAGTACGAAGAATCGGGGAGAAAGAATGAACGGGCATGCATACTTGTGACCACAGACACAGGTGTAAAACACTGTGCTACCTTCGTCGGCACTGCGCAATTGCACGGTAGTGTAGTACATCTCCTTTCTGCCACACTTGATGCAAGTATGTTGGGTGAGGGCTTCGGTTCTTCTGTCTTGGGCTGTCAAGGTCTGGACGGCAGATCTTTTCGCTCGGAGGGATGACGGGAATGCGCTGGGTTTGGACTCGGAGATAATGGTTTGAGGAACGGTGTCTAAATGGCAAGAAAAGAGTGAGAGGTCAGTAACGACTATCTGAGTTAAATATGAGCTTCAACAGTCAACCTACCTTTGTTCCTGGCTCCACAGACATCGCAAACGAGGATCTTGGTAGGATCTCCAATGGAGCCATCCAACAGGGAGCCACAGTCGGTGCAGAAGACGAGAGTTCCGATCGCAGACATCTTGATGAGGGTGTGGTTGTAGCAAGAAAATAGGGTTGTCAGGACAATTGAAAAGAATCGTGATCCAGAACCCTCACTTTTTTTTCCTGTTCTTGGATGGCGCCGGAAAGATTGGCTGTGCACGGGCCCGATTGGCCGAGCACAGCGCTACATTAGTGCCGGGCGGTGAGGCGCGGCAGCGGCACGAGAACCGTGCCTGGCATTAATTATTGCATTGGTCTGCCATGGAGATCGCTGGATCAATAGGCGTTGGTCGGGGATGGTCTTTCATTCTCTTGCTTGCTAGCCATGTCTCTGAGGGGAGCATGTCTATACCTATGTTACAGTACTAGATCTCTCTTCCTCCCATCGTTAGCCTCCCAGTAGGGAACCCTCCGGCTGCTGCCATGGCCCAAAACTGGCATCCGGCCGTCCAGGTCGTCATCAATGGCCATCCTCAAGCGCAAGGCCATGCTCCAAGTGGGCAGCCTCCGCGCTGGAATCGCCCGTTGGCCGTTGAAGAAGCTTTGCAGTACTCGCCCATGTCCAGCTCGCCCGTCTTCGGTATAGGTAAGGCCGAGATAACCTTTGCGAACGAGGTGAACCTTAACTGATGCAACTGTCTCTCCTTAGATTGCATCCTACGCCCGGACGTCGGCCGACCCCCCAATACGACTTCCATCAATCACATCCTGCAGTCCGGCCGTACGGCGTTGAGTAACCTGAATGGTGAAATTCAGTCTGGACGAGATGAATCCAATCGTTTAGAGACGTCTCGGGAATACTTGCAGCAGTTGTTGGATGGTGACCAGTTGACTGAATTGTGAGCCTCATCAGCGCTTCACTTATATATCATATGCTCATCAATTTTCGCAGTAAATTCAAGTTGCCAATTAGAGCGGTTAATCCACAGCAATCGCTTTCGAGTGCCGCCCACGACCATGTCGCCAGCAGCACTACGCTTGGCTCATTTGCGAAGATGATGTTGGATGCTACGGACATAGCATTTCGATGTAGGGCTTCGTCGCCTCACATGTTACTTACAAATTGACTGATAAATGAAAGATCCTACCCCAGATGACATGGAACCTCCCCAGAAACCTGCCTCCTGGAATGAAAAGCAGACTTCTGTCGCTCACAGACCTACTCCTACGTCCTCCATCCGGCCGGGCCACCCGACAAGTCAACTGTCGGTCGTAATTCCGGTAAAGCCCCTGCCACCTCATGCAGATGAGCACGGCATGTCGAAGCGAAGAAAGCTTAATGCCGATGGGGATGAGAATCCTATGACAATCCGGCTGAAGGATCAAAAAGAGGAGGCCGATGCTGCGCTGGTCAAATTGCAAGACCTGCTTCATGAGATCTTCGAATCTGAGGACCAACTCGATCCCAGTGCATCGTCTGATGTGGTCACTGAACGGGCAAATGCAGTATTCACCACGGCTCACGCTCTCGATGTTAACGGTCTCATCCTTTCGTCCGACACCCATAGCCAGCTTCAGAAAGCCATCAAAAAAGTTGTTGGTTACAACCGACTCCAGGACATTCCGTCGGATTATCTGAATAGGATCCAGAAGCTCTGCGAAAAGCCAATAATTGCTGCGCAGGCACCCGATTTGAGAATTGACGACCCTTCGAATGAATCGGAAGCTCAAGATTGGCTGAGAAAGCTGGATGACATACACAATGCTCTTCTGGCCATTGCTACCCTACTGCAAACGATGTCTGGCTCTCAGACGGAGCGAGATCTCTGTCCGGAGGATTTGATTGAAGCTATTCCCAATGTGTTTAACCAAACCTTTGATCACTGTATCATCCCTGCTGTCCAGGCACGTCCTGGCGGCAAGGATGCAAAACACTTTGAATTTTTCTCAGCTCAGAAACGAGTTCTTGGTTCCTTGATCCAACAAAGCAAACGAGTACTTGCTCTTTTTGCGGATTTCCTCTCGCGCATTGATGTCTCTGAAGGCACAGTCACAGCGGCCGAGTACTTCGCAGCTAAACTGATATTCGTCGAGAATGCTCACACGGAGAAGGATTCTACGGTGGGTTACCAGAAATATGAGTCCGTTCGACGCGGAGCTATGGATGTACTGGCCAAGGTCTTTTCCAAGTATCCTGCTCAGCGGCCATACATTCTGGATGAAATCTTGGTCTCGCTGGAGAGGCTTCCCTCCACTCGGCAGAGCGCCAGGCAGTACAAACTTGCTGACGGCAAGAATATTCAACTCTTGACTGCATTGGTGATGCAATTGGTGCAAACCACTGCTTTAGACGTCCCGAATTCGAGGTCGTCCCGGATGAGGCGTAAGCCGCCTGGTTCGGCCGAAGACGAGGACGATGATGAAGTGCTTGCTGATGGCCAGGGGGTAGACGATGATCAGTCAAATATCTCTATGGAGCAGCTTGCAACAAAGGTCAACCGCTTATACGATAACGCAGCGCGCAGTGCTCAATACATCGTCAAATTCATCGTCCAACGGGCGATGACATCCACCAAGACTGGCGACCAGCCCTATCGAAATATCTTTGACCTCTTCACCGAAGACTTGATCAGCGTCCTGGGATCCACGGACTGGCCGGCTGCAGAATTGCTTCTTCGCATCATGGCCTCTCACATGGTTGGTATCGCTGAACATGACAAGAGTTCTGCTACTTCAAAGAGCATGGCTCTTGAACTTTTAGGATGGATGGGCTCTGCCATCTCTGATCTCATTGTGACTGCTCAGCATTTGCTTCCTGCCATGGAAGAGTCTGGTAGTGATCTAACCGATTCCTTAAGACAGCTGTTCGAGGAGTACTCGAATCGGGCTTTACATCCTCAGGACCTTGTTGTTGCTGAAGGCCCTTATCGAATGACCCTCGAATACTTTATTCAGGACCGCAGTGTAGACAATTGGCAGCTTGCTAGTGCTCGCGGCTTTTATCTTACACAGTGGTCCAAGACCTTCTGTTCCGTTTATTATAACTCGGAAGACAGGGATGAAGTCATATACGATGACGCGACTGAAGATCTGGTTGCACTCTTCGGGAAGCTATTCTCCGATCCGATGTGGCTCGAGACACACAGGTAAGTGCTCTTATGAAGAGGTCTCAACACAATGCTGATTGATTTCGAGGCACTTCAACACCGTGCCCACCGCACACGGGAAGTTTGCTTATATCCTGACCGTCTTGAACTCGGGATTCTGTAAAGCTTTTGACACGATTCTCAAAGTTTTGCTAAACTCGATTGCCAGTGACCAGGCCAAAGTCCGGAGTCGTAGCTTGAAGAGTGTAATCTACATGTTAGAGAAGGATCCGAGTCTTCTCGATAGAGATGCATCCGTTATGCGGGTAATCCTCCGGTGTGCTACCGACGCATCCCCAATGGTTCGCGATTCTGCATTGTCCTTGATCGCCAAATGCATTGCTTTGAAGCCGAAGTTGGAAGAGGACGGCTGTCGGAGCATTCTGACGTGCGCCGCCGATCCAACTGCCGGTGTGCGGAGGCGCTGCATCGGGCTTCTGAAGGATATTTACCTTAACACCTCGCGTCTTGAGTTGAAGCTGGCAATCATGGATAGCTTTCTCCAACGAACAGGTGATTTGGAAGATAGTGTGGCCACCTTAGCGCGACAGACGTTTGAGGAGATATGGCTGACCCCCTTTCATGGACTCATCGACTCTGTTCAAGATGGCCCTAAACTCAAGGTTGGTCTTGAAGAGCGGGTGACCCTAATCGTCAGCCTCGTTCAGCGGAGCGAAACCGCGCTCGAGACCTTGAATAGTTGTCTCAAGAAGGTCTTTTCGGAGACCTCGAAGACTGCGGCCTTGAACTTTAAAGTATGCAGGGCGATGGTTTCCACAATGTTTGAGAAACTGGTCGAAGGCAACGAGTCAGGGAAGGAATTCCAGCAGGCATTGCTGCAAACCATCACAGTCTTTGCAAAAGCCAATGCGAAGCTGTTTCGACCTGACCAGCTGGAGACTCTGCACCCTTACATCGGACATTTGGCCACAGCCGAGGATCTCTTCCTCTTCCGCTCTGTGGTTGTCATCTATCGATGTGTCTTACCCTTTCTGTCGTCTGCTCACAACACTCTGTTGCGGGAAGTTCAGAACGACCTATTCAAGAGCGTGGCTAAGCTTGCTCGCTCGGAGTTGAATGAAGTGATGGCCTGTCTCTGGACCATCAACGGAGTCCTGCACAATACTGACAGGCTAGTGAAGTTAACAATCTCCGTCTTGAAGCCGATCCAGCACTATAAGAACATCGACCTTTCGGATCCAGCAAATGCGGCAGTCTTAGCACGAGCCAAAAGCTATATCCGAATTGCAGGTTGTGTTGGAAGACACTGCGATCTTGAAAAGTACGAGCCACATTTCAAGAATGCCTTTCCGTCATGGAGCGGCGGATCGGTGGCTGGCTTGATGGTTGATGCTATTATACCCTTCACTCTTCCGAAACAACCGCTTGAGCTGAGGGTCATGTCTTTGGAGAGTCTGGGCTCCATTTGCCAGTCCTGGCCAGGCCAGTTCAGTCGCGAGACCCCAAGACAGGTTCTGTCTATGGTGTTCAAGGAAGATAATCCAAGCCTCCAAAACATCGTGTTGAGGTCATTCTCCGATTTCTTCGCAATGCATGAAGGCAAGGCAGAGAAGACAGTGATGTCGTCTGCTGAAATCGCCGAACAGGAAAACTCGACGAGGCTAGGAGGATCTCTGAAGGCCAGTGATAATGATGGAGCTGCTGCGTTGATCGCCCAGCACTTTCTACGGAACATGCTCCGTGTTGCACAATCGCGGCAAGATTCGTACGCGCTGACTGCGATTGAGCTGATTGCCAGCATCAACCGTCAGGGATTGGTCCACCCCAAAGAGTGTGCCGGTGTTTTGGTCTCCTTGGAAACGTCGACCGTTCCGGCAATTTCCAAGATTGCGTTTGATACTCATAAGATGCTTCATCAGCAGTACGAATCGATGTTCGAAAGAGAATACATGCGTGCTGTTCAGGAAGCCTTCTACTACCAGCGCGACGTGGTCGGGGACCCCAGTGGGGCATCAAGCCGCCCATATGTCGCCAAGCTTGCGCCGCTGTTCGATATCATTAAAATCAGCAACAGTCGCTATCAGAGAAAGTTTCTCTCCAATCTGTGCTCGAAAGTTGACTTTGAACTGAAGAAGCTTGACGGCACTGGCGACCCGCCGGAACATCTGTTACTGGCGCGGTTTGTGGCCCAGAACCTAGCCTTCCTGGATTATAACCAGCTTGCCGAACTCGTGCCGACTATCAGCTGCATGGAGCGTATTGTTGCTGCAACTGGAACTGTTGTAGCCCACTCGATCGAAACCGAAAATTTTTCTGCGAAGATGGAACCCACTGTCGGGGAGATGATGCCCGCTCCTCCGTTGGAGGGTCAAGGAACTATGGCGCCCCTCCAGCAGTATAACCCAGCCACCTTGCGGCTCCTGGCTACCGCCGCCGCATCGCTTTCGATGCTCTGGGAAGCCCGGACGTATCTCCGCCGCCTCTATGGCGTCACCGGACATGCTCGCGTTAAGGAGGCCAAAGCTGCGGCCAAGGAGCTCAACAAGTCCGCCACGAAGGTGCATGGAGTGACGGGTGACAAGTTCTGGGATGCCATCACTCGAAACATGAACGCGTTGAGTAGCGAGCAGAGCATGATTGACAAGTGCCGCGAGTTTGCGACTTTGCTTGCCATCGACGATGAATTCAAGGTGGGGGGAGATGAAGACGCGGAGGGAGACAATTTGGATGCGGCCACCGACATGGAAGATCCGGGGGCTGCCTGGGCGACGGCCGGTGGGCCCAGGCCTGGGAAGCGAAAAAACTCCATGTCCGGGCAGAGTCCCGTGAAGCGCCCTCGCGGCCGCAAGAGCGGGGCTGGGAAGAAACGCGCCAGTGCGGAGCCTGGGGATGAATCGGACTGGAACTAGAGAGGTGTCGAAGCCGTTGATCGGGTTGACACCATGACCCTTGTATTTTGGCTGTCCATAATCTACTGGAGAGGATGCATTTATGGGATGGGGACTGGCGTTCGGGATGCACGGCTTGCTTTGAACCGTGAGCCATTGGCGACTTATTGCTTACACGGTGGCGGGCGGCGTGCCGGTTTGGCACTTGTTTCCTATGTTTACGAGACGACCTATTCTTTGTGTAGCCATACCATAAACCATCGGATTTCCATCTACACAGTACTACTCCGTACATCGTGTTACTATGTATAAGACGCCAAGCCGGGCCCTGCAGCCCGGGCGGGTCTAGCGTGCTGGCCGGATGACGTCGAGGCGCAGGCCAGTTTGTCGCCCTCCACCGGCTTTTTCAACTCTTCCTCTCCTCTCCTTTCCCTCTCCATGCTTTTGGATTCGAGTGCCAGCTCGGTGTAATCGTTCGCTATCTTCCTTCTCTCTCCTTTCACTTCTGGTGCCATTGGGCCTCTCCGCCGGTCGATTATTACGGGCCTGGCCCTTCGCAGTGACCGCTCTTTCCCTGCCACCTTTCACACGTCATGAGCGCGGCGCTGCTCCGGAGTCGTCCGGACCACCATGCCCTCAGAAGAATCGGCCTTCTATCCCGTCGATACCAGTCTTCGAAGTCGCCAGCATCCGTAGCTCTCGCGGCCTCCCGATCCCGGCTCCCTCGTCACACTCCGGCAGCTCAATGCTTAGCATCGCGTGCCTTTTTCAACCCCCGGTATTCAGTCCGGCATAATTCCACAACCCCCGATCCCAATGCACCCCCACAAAAGGCCGGCCTTCGCAATGCCCTCTTCAAGTCGTTTGCGTACTGCGGGTTCTTCATTGTTATCAGCGGTGCGGCCGTCGTGGCTTTCTTCGTCTACGATGCGACCACGTACCGCGAAAACTCGAGCGCGGAGGACATCCCGGTTTCGGAATTGGCGCTGAACCCCCGACTCGGTGGCCCGAAGAACCTCCCCATTGCGGAGGTCTTGATCGGTGACAATGACTCGGAGGGTCGGCTGCAGCAAAAGGACAAGCCCCGGTTGGTGATTTTGGGTACGGGCTGGGGTAGCATTGCGCTTCTCAAGCACCTCAACCCGGGTGACTACCACGTCACGGTGGTGTCCCCTACCAACTACTTCCTGTTTACTCCCATGCTGCCCTCTGCGACGGTGGGTACTCTGGGACTGAGATCACTGGTTGAACCCGTTCGTCGCATCGTTCAACGGGTGAATGGCCATTTCCTCAAGGGTGAGGCTCAGGACGTTGATTTCTCCGAGAAGCTGGTCGAGGTGTCTCAGATGGATGCCAATGGCAAAGAGCAGAGATTCTACCTGCCTTATGATAAGCTGGTTATCGGTGTTGGTACGTTTCGAAGCCTGCTTGCATCTGCGTGTGCCGTCCGCTAATTCTGATCTGTAGGTTGTGTAACGAACCCTCACGGCGTCAAGGGCCTCGAAAACTGCCACTTCTTGAAGACGATCGACGACGCGCGGAAGATCAAAAACCAGGTTTTGGATAACATGGAACTTGCCTGTCTGCCTACAACCAGTGATGAGGAGCGTAAACGTCTTCTGTCCTTCGTGGTCTGTGGTGGAGGCCCTACTGGTGTCGAGTTCGCCGCGGAGCTGTTCGATCTGCTCAACGAGGACCTCCTATACTCCTTCCCTAAGATTCTCCGGAATGAGATCTCGGTGCACATCATCCAGAGTCGCAGCCATATCTTGAACACCTACGACGAAGCGCTTTCTCGGTATGCCGAGGTTGGTCAGCCCTTTGTCGCATCATAAGTTCTGTAACTGACGGCGCAGTCCCGTTTTGCTCGAGACCATGTGGATGTGTTGACGAACGCCCGAGTGGCGGAGGTCCGCGACGACCGGGTTCTCTTCACGCAAGAGGAGGACGGGAAGCGTATCTTGAAGGAGATCCCGATGGGCTTCTGCCTGTGGTCCACTGGCGTCGGTATGTGACTAACCACCTACATTAGACCCAGGGCTCACTCTATCCCAGCTCGCGCCGAAATTTGCAAGAAAATCTCCGACAAGCTGGAGTCCCAGAACAACAAGCACGCCTTGGAGACGGACTCTCATCTTCGTCTCATCGGCGCTCCTCTAGGTGACGTCTACGCCATCGGCGACTGCTCGACCGTCCAGAACAACCTCGCCGGGAACATTGTGTCCTTCCTGCGCACGATCGCCTGGGAGAAGGGCAAGGACCCTCAGAAGCTGCACCTCAGTTTCCGCGAATGGCGAGAGGTGGCCACCCGCGTGAAGAAGCGCTTCCCTCAGGCCTCCAACCACCTCCGCCGCCTCGACAAGCTCTTCGAACAATACGACAAGGACCAGTCGGGTACCCTTGAGTTCAACGAGCTCTCCGAACTCCTGCACCAAATCGATACCAAACTCACGTCTCTCCCCGCCACTGCCCAACGAGCCAACCAGCAGGGTGAATACCTCGGACGCAAGCTCACCAAGATTGCTGCGGCGCTTCCGGGCATGCAGGCCAACCAGATCGACTACGGCGATCTTGATGAGGCGGTGTACAAGGCCTTCAAATACCGCCACCTGGGAAGTCTGGCGTACATCAGCAACGCGGCCATCTTCGACTTTGGCGGACTGAACTTTAGCGGTGGCGTGTTGGCCATGTACCTCTGGCGCAGTGTCTACTTTGCCGAGAGTGTCAGTTTCCGGACCCGGTGTATGCTGGCCATGGATTGGGCCAAGCGAGCTCTTTTCGGAAGAGGTGCCTCCCCCACAACCCTTATGCATACCTCAGTGGAGAAAAATAAGTTTGCTAACATCTATTTCTTACATCTAGATCTCATGAGCTTTTAATTGCTCCCCCTCGATACGATGTAGATTTATTTCGTGCGAATCTATCAGCGGACCGCAGATACATCACTACTGCGGTGACTTACGAACGGACTTGATTACCAGTAGATATTACCCAGTTACAACTAGAATATGAGTACCTGTGAAATCGACGCCGGAAATGACCGCCAGTGAGGCCGTTTACGGCGTCATTTCCACACGGCGTTTCAGCAACTGGTTGCTGCTTGAACGATTTACACACGTGATCCGGCCACTATTCTGCACCTGCTAAGCCCGTTTTTCTTTATAGTACCTCTCATTCCCACCAGAAGGCATTTGTGCCCAATAGCGCTGGAACCTTCTTTTACCTCACTCCCCCTCGTGCCCCTCCCCCTCATCGCGTTATCATCGACGAACAACTTGTATGAAACACTGCCCCCATGATTGTTTTTTCCTGTGTCAAAGGTGTATGGATTCTATCTGAAGCGATTTTTCTACCGTTAACTCATTAGACACCCGCTGCCTTGGATCAATATCCGGACATCCCCAACTCTCGTTAAAATGAATCCGCAGAAACTCTCACCCGCCGCTGAAGCCATTCGACTAAGGATAAAAGAAATGATCCCTGAGTTATCACGTCAAACTGTTGAAAGCCACGCGAAGCTTCTCAAAGCGGAGAAGAGTGGGAACAATACTTATGGAGGAGATTTACTTGCGAAACAAATTTCTCTTCTTTCAGGAGAATTGCCTATCCCAGATCCAGAAGTATGTGTCCAGATTCTCCTTTTTTGTGGAAGTGAGATTGATTTTCAAGCAGAACTGGGGCTGGCGTTTGCTGTATTTTGCAGTCCCCACAACAGTTGGAAATACGCGAAAGAGAGGATTTCTGATTCCACTTTCTGAGAAAACGTTACGTGAGGAAACAATGAAAGGAGCAACGCAGGAGGAAGCAACGCAGGAAGAAGCAACGCAGGAAGGATTTTACATGGAGATTACAACTGATCCGCAGGTCAATTCGCAAACGGCAGCTATAATTTTTGTACCCAGGTGATATTATCCAAATATCATACATTAACCTCTGCGAACCAGTAAAAGGACAAAATCGCCTAGAAGCCAGAGGGCATTATGGATATTTAATACTCACAATGCAGAGATGGGTAGGGTAAATTGACCGTAGGACTCTGAGCACGCATGGCCTGGCAGTAGTGATCTTGTATCGGTAGCTGGTTAGCCACTGGCCTCGCAGCTTGCTCTGGTGGTATTGATTGAAACATATCGTGTAGTTCAGCCATTTCCACTGCGTTGCTTTGGGAATGCCCATTGGGTGAGGTCATAGCTTGCGCCGGTGGTATTGGCTGAACCATGTCATGGACATTGACCATATTGGCTGTGTCGATCGGGGCTTGTCCATTGACAGAGCCACACCCTTGCATTGACAAGATGGGTTGTAGCGTATCATATACGTTCACCATCTCACCATGGGTCTGCCCGTCAAATGAAGGAAAGTTGTAAGCTGGTAATATTGGCTGAAGTATGTCATGGACGTTGACCATATTGGCTGCGTCGATCGGGGCTTGTCCATGGATATAGAGCCACACCCTTGCATTGACAAGATAGGCTGTAGTGTATCATACACATTAAGGATATCTCTCATGTCAGATGAGCCTGACTCATCACGAGGTTTAGCACCGGTTATCTGGTTTGTAGCGTTGTCGAACGATTGGCTTGGAGGCTCCCGTAACCTCGCTGCAATCGCTGGTGACATATAAGTAGTCGCTGTAGAATCATGGGTTGTGTGGAGAAGAGTTTCATCGTCTGAACGAATTTCCTGAGCTGCATCGGAAGTGTGTGAGGATCGGTCATTTGGCGTTGAGATGCCTGGCTGTAGCACTGCTTTCGGGATTTGCTGTTCTATTTGGAAGCAACGTGTTTGTTGCAGATTTTGCCCTATAGAAAGTCTAATCAGTGGTTCAATCAGACACAAACTCGGTAACAAGGACCTTTTTGTCCTCACCTAAAACAGATTCTGGACATTGAGTGATGAAATCATCAATTGATGCCTTAACTCTCTTCCCTAAGAAATTAAACACATCGGCAGCAAGTCTGTCCAAAACAGCTCTGCCCTGAACATCCAATATACCACGATCTTTAATATTTTGAATTTGTTGGTCCCTGTATGATCCCTTGTATCCCAAACGTCTTATGCTTTGCAATGGTCAGCGGTCTCAGCTTGCTAGATTTGAATAGGTAACAGACAACTCATCATGGCAGTCTTCTGGCAAACAAAAGAGATTGCCCGAGATATGAGTCCTCATCTGTGGAAGAGCCCCCAATACTTCGACAAAGTGCATCGATCTTCCCACCTTGACCTGTCCACCGAACAATGTTGCGTTTCACTCTATCCGAGTCACATGGAACCAATCCAGAATTGAATATTATTGATGCCACAAAATCAACATTGTTTGAACGCATATAATGTATGGACGATCTTGTTTTCAATCGATAAAACACGGTTTTAAGGAGGCGTGCACGAATAATATCGATCTTCTTTCGACGGTTGACTTGTTCGAGGCATAGGTAGGCTCCAGTGATCGGCGAGTTCTCCAGATCTAGGTTGATGCTTTCATCTCGAAAGAATGACGATGGGTTTTTGCTCCAATACGATGCACTAGCCATCAAATCCTGTGAAATGGTTATCTTTGGCATAACTGGTTTTGTCGATTTTCTCGATTCTTTTTGGGAGCGTCTGTGGCTTTCCTTCTTTGGCGGTCTACCGATGCTTCTTCTGATCTCCTCAGGGACATATGTCCAGACCTCCCGCAACGATCTCATGAACTACTCGGTTTTAGCTTGTGCGTCGAATTCGCATGACTAGCATACCTCTTCTCTAGAAACAATGTCATTCAAATCAATTTTCTCGGTATCTGCAGCTTTACTGCAAGCGTCGGAAATAGTGCCGGCTATCACTTTACTCTCAGATACACCCATGGTGAGATGGATGATTGAAGCTGTTCCTTCACATTGCAGATAGGAAGCGTATAATACGGGAGGGCAGAGTCATATAAATGATCACATGTCCCCCCTGCACTATCCCTGATTATAGAACCCCGCAGGTGTTAAGCCACGCGTCTGCAAAGACCCCTTTTTGGCCAACAAACATGCATATGTTGTCTAGCCATTCATAGTTGTAGGCCAAAGGTACTATAAGCGCAATACCTGCTTCCCGCCTTGTGATCGGCATCTTGCGGAAAGGAGCGAACAAATCTAAGATACTCTGTAAATTGTAATCTCGCGAAGCCATCAAAAAAAATTCCATTAATGAAAAAACATGTATCTCAGATACTTCCTCAGAGAACTGTTCAGTGTTTGAGGTTATACAGGATGTTTGCGCACGTCCAATCAGCCAAGCTCGCTCCGACCGTGTCCAAGGGTCTGACTACCCACCGCTTTATCACATGAGACTAATGCAATAACTCCGCAGCAAGCAACTTTCTCGTCTTTCATGTCTCATATTAGAGAAATTCTTACAAAACATCTGCAATAAATTTCACAATAAAGCAGGCTTGATGGGACCGCTTAGAACAAACGCTGCGGGATCTATAAGAAGGGCATACCAGCCGATCGCATCGTTCCCCCATCCTTATCTGGACTGGTTAACGCCATGCTACATCCGGAAAGGAATTGAGGTCCAGACTCCCAGTGCCTCCACCTTCCGGCGGTTCCGGCGTGTTCCCAGCATAGTGGTTCAGCGAATCACCACCATATCGTAGGCGGCTTGTGTGTGTGAAGGTCCTGCGCCGCAGCTAACTACGGGAGATTGAGAGATTTAGATAGAATGCTACTCCAACATATCAGCACAAAGGCGGAGCATGTTTGTGCTCTGGCGCATACTGTTTTGACTGGCTACGAACACCAACACATTGCTGCAGCCGAAGGTAGAGACTTATATGACTTCTAATCGTCCCACTACTCTCAGCATCTATGGATTCGTCGATGTATGGGGTCTCTCTCCCCTTTCTACGAGTCATTGGTGGAGGGTCGTGCTAGCGCTACGGTCAACCGCGCGTTCCTGGTCTTCCCTAAGCGATACTTGAGTACGAGCATCTATCATTGAAGTTATTGCGCGACATCACATTTGCAGGAGCAGATTTTCAGTGAGCAGCATGGGCCGAGGCGATTGCATCTCTCCAGAAATTGGCTCAGTAAAGGGAACCATGCACACGTAAAAGACTTAGTTACTAGGCTGGCGCTTACACATGGATGCCCGACCGCCTTACCCTCCCTCTTAGTCTAATAAGGCATGTGTTGGTCTCCTAAGGAGTTGCTGCAGCAGACATGTTTGAAATTCCTGTGACTGTAATTTAAGCAGACAATGGAAGGTTGGGGGACGCGTCTTGCGGATCCCATGGCCAGTAACGATATTCCAGATTATAAAAAAAACTCTTTCTGGAGGCGGAGAAGCAACGGAAACAAGCAGAGGAGCGGCAGAGACAAGCAGAGGAACAAAATCGACCAACGACCTTTGGCGAGCTCATTCGATATGGCCACAACATCGTCGCTAGATCGTTGAGAGTTGAAGAATTGAATCATGAAATCTCGAGATCTGTGAAGAAGATCCGCTCTCTCGGAGTTTTGATAATATTCTATGGAATGCTGAGCTGCAACAGGCGCTGATTATTGATTTTCATTGGGCTAGATCGGACCGTCGGCCGAAGAGAAAGCGGGTGCTTTCGTGCGGGGCAGAGGCACGTCAGCCAAAACGACCTCGTACTATTTGCTAATGATAACTGTACATTATTGGAGCATTCGTTTGAGAAGATCTGTTCCTGGGGTGTTGTGAACCGGAGTTTCTTAGCATGGGATTCATTATTTTTCTTTTTACGACTGGCGCTTTGGAACACAAGTTGATGGAGGCTGTAATCTAATCTAGTGAATTATTATCAAAGAATCCTAAAACCCATTCTGGGGGTCGAATAGACTACATTAGCTGTAGCCAGTCTATTATTTACCATCTAAATTTCGACATGCATGCCCTCAAGCAGCAGCGGAACGTGCTGGAGATAGGAGCATTGGCATGGGCGGACAAAGTCAAACTGGGCACGAGCGAGGCAAATGTACGAATGAGCAGAGAAGGATTAACATCCACTGATTTGCCAACGAAGTGGACCGATGTAATGAAATCGATTGGTTTGGTGTTTCTGTACAAATAGTCCGCAGGATCTATGCACTGACCTCAGAGTCATTCGCCTTGAGTTGAGTTGTCGTAATTCCATTTTATCCGAGTTCTACATGAAGATTGCGGCACAGTTAGCCTCACAGGGACAGCGCTTAGGATGGTCTATTGATTTGCTGAACCATTGTGCCAGGAACATGGTGCAGTACGAGCTTCAACCCAAATCCAGGCTGGGTTTAGATTTGGGTCGGAACCTTCGACCCAAAGTTGGGTTTTGGTGTGATATTCAATTTGTTGATAATGGATGTATCTTGACCAGGATCAACTCGGCGGCTAAAATTTGAGAGCTCGTAGCGAATTGCTATTCTATCCTGTTCGTTTTTGGAACGTGCTTAGGCTGTTGGCAAGGGGGCCTCGGGCGCCTAAGTTATGTCTCATGTTGTCGTTGCTGGTCAGACTCGTTCCCTTTGATACTCATCCGGGCTCAAACCATGTATACTATGTCCCAAGCTTTGAAACCTCGCAGTGAACCTCGTCATCTCCCCCTCCTCCTTTAGCTCCTGACCGCTGACGCTGTGGTGCAGGCGGATCCGACGCCACCGACTTCTTGTAAATTCATCTGTTTCCGATAGCGCGTTGTAGATTGGATGCTGTTGGTGACGGCCTCTTCTGTCAGGCGCCAATACTTGACAGGCTTCTTTCCTGCGGTGGGCTCTTCGCGGACGGCTTCGAATCCCTGCATGACAGGTCAGCATCCATCCAGCCATTGAACAGAATTTTCGATATGTCTTTACCAGCTAGTAGACGTCAATGCCACCACTCTGACCTATTGCCATGTCCCATAAGCCAGGGCAGTCCGTCTATAGACTCAACATCCCATGGGTGCTGATAAGGTATCATTGTCTCTGGACTGCGAGAGCTGGAGTCGGATCAGGCATCGAGCACAGAAGGGGGAGTCTCGGGGGTTCTGGATGCGCTGGAGCTGGAATGAGGTTGGTAGAGGTCGGGCTGGTCTATGAAGCCGCGAGTAGAGGGGAAGCGGTCCATCTTGGTAGAGCTGTAACTTCAAGATCAATTGAAAGTAAAGGAGTACCAGAGTCTGAAATGGCCAGAGCGAGGTATAAAATATCAAGGCTTCTTGTAGAAACAAAAGAGCCAGTCCTGCAAGTTTCTAGTACCTGCCTGAAGCCCCTAGTAGGCTTTACTACGTGTGACGATCCAAGACACAAGAGGATGCACAGCTCACGTAGTAACAGAACGCCCAATCACAATCTCTCCAATTTAATTTCTTTTCTGCTGCTGCCCTTAGCCTTCGCTCTGAAGCGGTTCCTCCCCAGAGACAAACAAACACCGCATGCCCCTGCGTGGTTCGACCTCTAGGTTCAGGACGATCAAAAGCGCCTCTCCATCCCTCTTCCTGGGTTGTCTCGCAGATTTCGCGTGAGTTACTGCAGGACTGCCATATCTCCAGGGTTGTGAAACGCGATCATGTCCTGCTTGAGCCAATGGGACACTCATCGCCCGCGAGAGGCTGGATCTCGTGCTACAAAAGGGACGCAATGGTCTACTGGAAAAGGCCTACAGATGCCCAAGTGACCGGGATTGAGCCCGTAGCTGGCACAGAGTGGGAGGATCTATAGTACATAGTTGGGTGCGGAATGCTGCAGCTAATCCTCCTTGTGCGGGCCAGACCTCAGTCTCTGTCTTCGCCTTCTGGAACAGACCTTCCCTGTCAGTGGGATTATGCATGCTGCACATTCTCAGGCCCTTTCCGCGTTCCCCACCAGCCGGATGTTCAAAACTGACTTGCAGGTGGCGTTGTAGTACAGCGACATGGCCTTTTTCCTGATACGAAGTGAAGAAGCAAGCCCGCCAAAGCAGAAACCAGCAAAAGCAACCCACGGTGGAAGATCACCCATCCCCAGCAATGCACCTGAAAGCAGCCGCATCAGTGTAACCAAAAGCTTGGTACAATCGGGGGCAAGAAGCAGATGAAACAGAACTCACCAACCCCGAAATCACCAACTCCTGACCTCCCTGAACCAAAAAGTCCCTCCTCACAACTACCTCACAAGCAATAACCGTAGCAACCGCAGCAACCGCCCGTGGACAACGATGAAACAACAGACGATGACACAAATGACGAGCCGCCCAAGCCCCAACCCAAGACAACCACCAAGGCCACCACGAAACCACCCTCCAAGCCCCGCGTATTCAGAGCGTGTGGGCAAGTGATTCTCTTCTCCCTCAGTAGGGTGCTCAGTTGCTAAGTTTTTGCTGAAATTGATGACCAAGGTCCTAATGTCCCTGCCCGAAGAGACAGCTCCTTGGAGGCTCTGTTCTTCCTATTCAGCGATCCTTTGCCTAATCACAGAGACAAGCCCCTAGGAATTCATCTCCTGTAGTCTTTATCTGAGCAGTGCGAGATGCCACTGAATCAGTGATGTGGTTTCGGAGCTCCACACTTAGCTGGGTTTTGGAAAATTCATGGGTCGGAGAGGCGGGGAGTATCCCGTCCAGGCACTGGCCGCCTATATGTTGGTTTTCTGGGGCAGGGTTGGGTCGCCTTGATCTTGCTTTGATGGCTCTGGTCCAGCCTGGGTTGGTGATTGATGGGGATTGATGGGGATGAGGCGAGTTGCGTTCGGAGTCACATGGACCTCTGGGGCATCTCCCATGTCAGCATCTCCAGTGTGATTAATCGGCTCAGGCTCTTTCTCTTGTCTCTGTTTCGTGGCGTGCAGGTGATAATGTGCTTGAGTAGCAGGGGCTGTTCTTTTCTTAACACCCATGGTGCTGGCTGCGCCGCTGCATGTGTGCAGAGGCATGTTTTGGCACAAACCTGCTTACCTCTGAAAAAAGAGGAAGAGTGTGAGTTTCTATCACATGCATTTGGTAATACCCCAGCAGCCCCCAGCTCTGCAGCGAAGCTTTTATTTTTTTTTTTTTTTTTATTTTTCCACAAAATCGTATCAAGTCGCGAAAGGCTTGTAGCAGCTGCTAAAAGTGTGACAGTCAGCAGAAGCCTGATCAAATCCATCAAGAAGCATCAGGTAATACTACTCTATAATGTCTGAATTACTCCTATGTATTTGCTGCTGCTTCTCGTACTCATTGAACTATAAGGCAGAACCAGTCTTTTGTGAAACATCTGGTAGACCGGTTTCAAAAGTCCATTCACAGTCATTGTCGTATCCCTGCGCGATTCTCTCAACATCGACGACAGCATCCCACGCCGCCAACGTCCTCCTGTATCTTTCCTCTCCATCATCGACATTGACAGCATCCAGGTCTTCCTGGCGCCCAGCATCGCACTCGCAGCGCAGAACAGACCTCAGCACATCTAACAGTTCCCTCCTCCACTCAGGTTGATGGCCCCCAGACAGCCGTGCCGCGACGTACTCAAAGTACGCGGGCATGATATTGGCCATCTCCCAGTCCAGGAAACCCGTCACCGCGAGCGTGCAGGGGTCCACAAGGATGTTCCGGTCAGACAAGTCCCCATGCGAGAGGACAGGTCGGTCCCAATCACCTGCGCCGGTGGTGTCACGCTGTACTCGCTCAAGGGCGACTGCACGTTCTGCATCTGGGGCAGAGGCCTGCAGCGCGCGGACGCGCGAGTCATCCCACTCTGAGCGGGAGGCGCAACATACATATGTCTCTATGCCGAATTCGGAGAAGAGGAGGTACGGCTGCCGCGTGGGCCGGCCGTAGTAAGAGAAGTGGTGCGTACGCATACGCACAAGGAGACGGCAGAGCTCTGCCTTGATGGTCTGGCGCTGCAGAGGGGTGAGTGACGGCCAGAGCTCGACTAGCGGCGTGCCCGGCTGGTGAGTGAGGATGAGGCCCTGTTGGGTGCGGTTGGGCGTCAAGGCGTCTGAGGTTATTCTTGGAAGCGTGATGACGCAAATGACGCGTGGGACACAGGGGCCCAGAATGGAATGGGCGAGCGCGGTCATCTTGCCTTCGCCATCGTCAGTGCCCAGTTTGAGGATGGTAGAGGGAGAATGAGTAAAAAACTGGCGTCCAACTTTTGGAACAGTCGGCCCTGAGAACAGAGGGAGGCTGGGGAGAAAGGCCCAGTTCTCCCGAGGAAGCTGCTCTGGTTCCTGAGAGCTCTCGTCATGTAGTGTCATGGTGAGCGGCGATGCGTGGAGAGCAGTCCAGAATATCAGGCAATATTGAGGGTTTACTTAGTTGAGTAACCCGGTGCTAAAGTGCGATGTCCTCTGAGGAAGATAACTGATTGATATCTATCTATGCGACCCCTAATGGTAGATATAGCCGAGTCCACCGGACCGAGATTCCTCCGGTCAGGGATGAAATGAGCGGGTAGCTCAGGATCGGGGAAGTCGGGGAGTCGATTATCCAAACTGCACGAGGCTTATAGGCGAGAAAATTTAGATTACAGTAAAGGAAGTGACATTGATCTCTATAGACACCGTAGAAGGTAGAATGAGTGTTTGGCTATCTAAAGCCTATAGCTACAGTGGTGCGTATATGAGGAATCTGTCGGCTTCGGTAATCGGGCCGACTATTAATCCACCTTGACTTCAATCAACTTTCATCACGGGATTCGGATTAACTCATACCCGTCCCGTCTTATCCATGGCTATGCTACCTGTATTTAGATCGGCCAGTGGCTTACTGGTATAGACACTAAAGCCTGGCTAGACTGCTGGTGCGTACATCGCCAAGCAGGTGATCCGTCCGGAACCACCCGGAAGGTGGAGACACTGATGCCAATTCTTAGATGTAGCAGGATGTTGACCAGTTCAGACAAGGATGAGCCTGATGTTTCCGACATTACAAGGACAGCATGAATGGATATAAGACGATAAACTATACTTTTGACACCAAAATCCACTACAGCACGGTTGTCATATAGTCACTATACCCAGTCAATGGCAGGATTAACCAAACATTGCTGAATTGCTCAAAGCGAGGTAAGGAATCAGCGTTATGGTCATGAGAGCACGAGAGCACGAGAGCATAGTGTCATTTGCCAAGAAACTCTGCGTTGGCGAATGATTGTTCTTGTAGCAGTCCTTTCCACAGTAGCTTGTCATGGGGCGCAGCAGACCGGAAATTTGACAACAGAGCTCCAATCATTCATCACTTGGCGGTGAGGTTTGGTTCCAGACTTTACGAAACTGCTTCCGCGGGAATGACACCGGTGTCTGTGGCGAAAATAACCAACAAAACCACAGGTGAGGCATTTATGCCATTGGATTTGTTTCTCCCGGATGCTAAATCGTTGTCATCTGAGCGTTCCAACCGCATACGCGGCACATGGGATCGGCGTGGTTAGGGCGAAAGTGCGACACAGGACGGGCGCCAAATGGGGTCGATTGTAAGCTGTAATCAGCATTGGGAGTCTGTCAAGCCTGGAGTCAATATCTTTCCTTTGATAAGGGAGTCGAAAGGGCGGATACCATTAATGAAGAGCGGCTGGAAAAGCAAGACCTCATGTAAATTCGTTTTTCAGTAGAAGATAGGGAAGCAAGCAGAGAATATGAACCAATTCACTGTATAAAAAAAATAGAGGGAGACAGAATCAGCTCAAAACGCCGGTCAACGTAAACGAGGAAAAGGAAACCGGACGTGGAGGTGAGAGGGCGCAGCCGCAAATTCCGGGAAAAAAAAAAAAAAGAAAGGGGGTGGCGGAGTTCGAATGGCCAGGAATATGGGTGAGTGCAGAATATTGGAGGGAGTTTGGGAAGAGAAAAAGATTTGGGAGGAGACGAGGTCAGAACAGTGAGGGAGGGCTCTTTTATATTGGGAAGCCAGGCGGGCGGTGTTTACAGTACGGCGTATCGGGAGGCTATACCAGAAACGGCAAAACTAACCGGAAGAGGGAATTCACAGGTCCTCGTTTTACAACTGTAAAATGGATACCCGATTCCTACTATAAACCACTTCCATCCCCCCCCCCCCCCCCCAAAACCACTAACAAATAATAAAAATAAAAAGTAATCAAGGCACCCCCCTCCCCACAATCATCTCCTCAAACGCACAAACCCCCAATACATGTCTATACTCGCGTACCAAATCCCAATACCTCCCCTCATCACCACCCGAACCAGTCAACTCTCTATACCCACCCCCACCATCCTCCCCATCTCGACACAGCAGAACATTATATTTATTGTAATATCCCTCGTAGGAGAGATCCCCGTAGGCTAGGACCTGGAGATGTGGGAATCTATTCGGTGCGAAGGCCCATTGGGCGTATTTCTCCAACAACGTCCTGTGGTTTGCGGTTGATGGGGGCGGTCCTTGTTCAAGTAGCGTGGGGCCACTGGCTCGGAGGTGCAGGATTTTGATATTGGGATGTGGGGTTGGGGTTGGGCTTAGTTGGATACTGGGAAGGTCTTCGTGGTTGGCCTATATCATAGAGAAATACAAATAAAGTAAGCCATCATGATACTGACATCTAGACCCCGATCGGAGGCAAAGGAAGGGAAGAAGAGGAGAGGAGGGGTAGGGGACATACCACACCCTCCAACGCAACC